CCATGTCACCCTACCTTGGAGCCCGTCATCAATGAACTGAAACCTCTACAGACTATGAGCTAAATAAATCTTTCCTCCCTTAGCTTGTGGATGTTGGATATTTTGTCTCAACAGAGAGAAAAAGTAACTAAGACACTTCATCATGTACTCTTACTACCTAATTTCTCTCTTGAGAATCAAGAATTAATGCTGTTATCCAAGCTAGTGGCTTATAAGATTTTATTCTCTTTCCCCTCAACTTCACATGGAACTGTTTGTCAAATGTTGTTAACTTTGCATTCTAAACATTCTGAAATTCATCCCTTTGTATAGAGATCCAAAAACACTTCAAATTCAAAATATTCAAAGCTTAACTGCATACTTTTACTCTTCAACTTGTTTTTCCCATGTGTTCTGCTAAGATATTTCCTATCATTCAGTTGCCTCTCATCCATATAATCACTAATTCTTGATATTTGTCTTCCTATTTACGTCTTTCATCTATCTACTCCTCTACATCCTCAATATTATTTAATGTTCTGCATTAGTTTGCTGCGACCCATCCTCCTGAAGTTCTTGGGGTTAAGGACCACCAGAGGATGAGAAAAATAAGAGACAAAGCTGGGGTCAGGTGGAGTCCTTATCCTCCTGAGGAAAGGAAAGGTGCTGGCCCCTCACTGCAGGGGCAGTTATTTATACCTTTTAGCAACTTAATGTCACAAGACACTTTGTTGTCCTAGCAACCTATTGTCCAGATTGTCTTGGGGGTGGGCATTCTATGGGCTGAAGCAGTTTCTTCAGGTGGCTACACCAGGCACTCTGTTCTTGGAATGGTCATGCTCCAGTCTTGCTTGGTGGTCAATTTCCAGCTTCAATGGCTCGCAACAGTACTTTAATTGATTTTCCTTCCTTCTATCCTTAGCCCTTCTAATATCTTCTCTACAGTGCACCCAAACTTCCCATTTTCATCATCATTTTCTAATTCTTTGATTCTTAGTATGTTTAACTCCCTAGACTGTGCAATCTAGGAGAGTGATATTCCATTTATTCTTGTCTCTTCTGTACCTGGTACTGTATATCTAGCAATAACAGATGCTCAATAAATACTGTATTTATGAACGTATGCTTACTTCCTCTTTGATTACAGTTACTTAAAGGAAGTTAAGTCTGTGGCATGCTCTAGATCCCTAATACCTGTAGAGGCACAGAGGCCATGACAAGGTTCATGGTCCTACCAGCTGAACTGAAAGCCATTAGGCATTTACTGCACATTATAGAATCAATAAATAGTGCTGTCACTACATAAAAAGGATATAAAGGTCTCAAGGCATCTTTCATGATGGGGTTTTAAAACCAAAGTAACCCTCACGGTTTGTCTTTCTGTTGTGAAAAACCAAAAGTGTAAATAAGGACCAACGTAAGTAACAGCTATTGGGAAATAGGAAGAAAACGTTCAAATTAGAAGGGGAAAACGTAGGGGGTGGGGGAAACGGAAAATGAGACGAGAAAAAAAAAAAGATCACAAGGAAAAAAATGGAAACAAAGCTTTTGTAAATAAGTTGGAGTAGGGGGTTGAAGGAGGAGAGGGAATTCGAGGAAAAAGAAGGAACAAGATATATCACGTACAGGTAAAAAATCTCGATGAATATGATCATTACGTGCATCTAAAATGTACCAATAAAATAAAAAAAATTAAACCCCATGGGTCCTAGCAAATACCTTCCCATTGGTGAGCATCAAAAAAATGATGCTTGCACTACACGAAGTAAAACCTCAAGGCCCTGGCAAGTATGTAAAACAATGATCTGCGGAGCTCCGCGGGTGCTTGTGCGCGTGCGCCGTGCTCTCCCGCGGCTAGGCCTTTCCTGCAGCAGCGAGGGAGGTGGGACCAAGCAGATTCCCGCGGTTTGGCCCCGCCATTGGCGGGCGGTTTGAATGACGGAAGTGACGAATAGCGGCGCAGGCCTCCGCGCAGCCGCAGAAACGGTTGTTCGGACACGTCTGTGTAAGGTCTGTTGGGTTTCTCTCTTAGGTACAAGTCCGGACGCTGGGGTCCTGGTCCCAGGGTAAGTGACGGTGCACAGGCTGCCTTATCCGGAGGAACTGGTAGTGTGCTCTGAAGAAAGGGCGTCCTGGAATGCAGCCTGGTGCGCGCCCGTCTGTTTTTGGCCGGCCGAAGCCTCCGGCTGCGGTCCGCCGGCTGCTGTGGCGAGCGCCGCCTGGGAGGTGCATCGGGACTGGACCCGCCTGCCTCGAGGGGCGGCTAGCGTGCGCTCCCGGGCCGGTCACGCGGGCGTGTGCTGCGTCCTCCTGGTCCCTGAGCCTCCGCTTGGGGACTGCGTGATGGTCGCAGCTGCAAACGGGTCTCTTAAGTTACCAGAGAATGTGGCCAGGAATCCTGTGGCTTAAGAGCCTTTCCTGGAGTTGTTCTTGCAAAGAGCCAGCCCTCTTGGGGTCCGATTAATTTCTCTGGTATGAAGTTTTTTCACAAACAGTTTGTAAGTGTTGGTCTGATGAGTCTTTCATAAAGTGTGTTTGGCAGTTTCATTATGCTTAAGTTACATAATCAAAGCAGTCGGTTGGGTTAGGTGTTACTCCTCTTGTATAGGTTAAGAAAACGAGACTAAAACGACCCTAGCGACTTGGCCAGTGTCTTTCTGCCAAGTGACAGTGTCAAGTCTTGAATGCACATTGAGTCTAATGTTAATAGCATTTGCTGAGAAAGCAGTTGGTCAGACAATAGTTGTCAGTAGCTACTAAGTGGACAAAAGTATGATGAGAAAATGGTGTTCGTGTTGCTTTTCCTATCCTTCCAACAGATACTTATGAAGGAGAAAATAGAAGCTACCATAGAGAAAATGATAAGATACCAAATGAACCAATGGTAGGCCGACTGACATCTTTTACCTGTTGATATGATGCACTAAGAGGAGTACATCATCACTTCAGTAGAGCTCTTGCCAGAAATACTAACTTTAGTCTAGTACAAGAAAAGATTAGATAAATTCAAATTGAGCTAAGTTCAAAGTAGATAAATTCACTTGTGCCAAACAAAAGAATTGGCCAGCATTTTTTATTTAAGAAATGAAAGACAGGAAATGTCCTGTTGTGGAAGAGATACATGGTTATGAGATTGTAACTCACTTTTTCCTGCATTCATATAACCTGTTTATACGAGGAAAGGATATATGAGAATTTTGTGCTTAAAATTAAGTTTTAAAATTATTGTCACATCTTAACAGCCAAAACCAACAAATATTTGTATGTATTGCCAGAATCCTCTGGCAAATGAAATGGATATGCCAAAAATTCTGAGAAAACTTTTTTCTTTTACATTGAGATATAGTTTAGAATAAAATACACAAATCTAAGTGTAATATTTGAGGAATTTTAACATGTGTGCACCTGTTTAATCATCATACAGTTCCAAATACAGCATATAGTATTTCTAGCACCCCCGCAGGCTTCATTGTACATGTGTCCTACCTAGACAATAACCTGAGTGGTAAGCCTTCTCATGGATTCATCGTCAGTCCATTGTTTTTGAGCTTCATATAAATGAACTTTTATTGTGTTCTTCTTTGGACCCAGCTTTTATTCCATTCTGTGATATGAGACTCATCATTAATTGGTTTTAATACTTCATGAGTGAATTTTCAAAGACCTTCAGATGAATTTGTAGAGGTACATTGTGAAGATTAAATGTAATATTGTTCATTTTTCATCTTTGTTCTGTTCCCTGTTTCTCAGTCTTCACTTTATAAAAAACAATACCTTAAATAACATTTTGCCGCATCTGTGTGTTTTAACATATCAGGAAGTTAGAAGCCATTTGAAATAAATAAACTAGATTCTTTTACTTTTGCCAGTACATATTGTCACTTTGGGCAAGAAAGAAAAACAAAGTTAAAAGAAACCCAAGAGGATTATGTTTATGCTTAAAATTTCAATAGTTGGCACTTTACCATTATCAAAATCTTGTATCAAATCAGAATATATAGAAAAAATTCACTAAAGGCAAGCAGTTACTCTTTCGACATCAGAGTTCTGATCTAGCTAGTAGGAGTGACTGTGTGTGCCTGTTGTAGTAGTGCTTTATGAGGTGAAAGACTGAGAAATTCTGACGTATCTCATAAAATTTGATTGTATATTGATGTGAAGTATTTAACTTTTGGATATGATGATAATGGGAACAGATGCTGTCAGAGTCATGTGAAAAGAATTTTCAAAATCTAAAGCTCTAGATTCTTACATTCTTTCCATTCTTGCCTACCATACTCCCTCAAACAGGAATGTGTTAAAATCTAGTGTAAAAGTAGCAATAGAAGAATAAATGTGGAAATTCCCAACACGTGGTGTACCCAAACAGTTATTTTAGGAAAACTTTAAAATGGTCATACATTTGTGTACAGCCATACTACCCTGAACACGCCAAATGGTCATATATTTAAAAGTCAAACACCTGAGGTTAATGGTTTACCATATTGTATGGTAATTGTATAGCCTGTGGGAATGGTATGATTCCATGAATTATGATGATGCTTGATGATCAAGTTATGTTCAGCAGACTGGATACTAAATCAAATGATAAGGAAAGGAGCCTTTGAAGTTACAGAAGTTTTGCTGGTGATGAACAGGTTATGCCATAGTACTAAACTAGTTGTACAAGCATTCTATGCCAATACATGTTTTTATGGTTTTTTTTTTAAACATTTAAGAATAGAAACTGGAAATGCCCATCAGGAGTAAATTAGGTCCATGATACTACAAGTAAACATTCTGCTGTAAAACAGGGAAAAAGTTCTCTAAGAAATTTTGCTCTGCTCTTTATTTCCTCTTTTTCACCTCGCAGAACCACTGATCAAATTGGTAGGTTTATAGCACCTATTTATAAATCATTTTTGACCGTATTTGCATGCATATAGCCTTTAAATGTCACTAATGTGAATTTTTAAAATTATAGTCTTTGCTACTCTATTTCAATGATTCATATCTTTATGGACATTTCTCTTTTTTTTAAGTTTCAGATTCTTTTTATGTAAATTACACAGAAATGAAAAGAAAGGTAGTGAATACTGGCAAGCTGAGATTGAGTCCAAATGAAGAAGCCTTTATTTTGAGAGAAGATTATGAAAGAAGACGAAAACTAAGGTTGCTACAGGTGTGACTTATTTGAAATAGTTTCCATTGTCTTCTGGAAATCATTTAATACAAAATCATTTAATATAAAAATCATTTAATATAAATCATTTAATATAAAAATACATTAAAATGTTCTAAGTGAAACATTTCATTTAAAAACCTGATTATATAAGAGCCCTGGTTTTTACGTATTTTACATGTTCCAAAACATACTAGTTTTAGAACATTTGAAAAAGCAGACAAAGATGGTAATTAGGTTGGAAGAGAATGAAGGCTAAGCATTATTTGATTTTAGGTTTTTAAATATTTTTAAATGGTATGTAATACATGAGTATTAGTATAAGAAGTTTAGAATGACTTCAAGAAAGACTTACCAGAAACATTATTAGCTTCTGAGACAACTTTACTAGGAAGTTGTAGATTATTGTTTTCTAACAGCCCAGAATAAGAGTTAAATCTTTGTGCAACATGTTTTAGGTGCTATTCTGTCTAGAATTAAAGACAGTATATGACAGAAATGGGATTTGCATCTGGCCCTATCTGTACTCCTCTCTGCTATGCATTTGTTGAGCCATGTTTACCATTTTGGCATTTTATTCATTATTAGGGTGATACAGTGCCATTAGAAATGTAGGAGAGTAGAAAAAATTAGAAGTAGTCTTGCAGTTTGGGGATTTTTTGTTTTGTTGGTAGTGCTGAGGATTTAACCTGGGACCTTGTATGAAGTAGACAACCACCACTGAGCAATATCCTCTGCCTGAGCGTCTTATTTTCCTGTATCACTTGGAGTTTTGCTTTATGTAGTCCTTATCTAGTACAAGGTAAATATTTAGAAGACCTGATAGATGTGAAGAGAATGCATTTTAGTTTCTGTTTCCAAATAGCTTTTTTAAAGTTTAAGCTTTTATATAATCCATTAAATATTCTTCAGGTTCGAGAACAAGAAAAGGATATCGCTTTACAGATAAGAGAAGACATAAAGCAGAGGAGAAATCAGCAGTTTGCTCGTTTGGCAGAGGAGCTAAGGGCAGAATGGGAAGAATCGCAAACTCAGAAGATACAAAACTTAGAAAAACTGTATTTGGCAAGTTTAAAAAGTATGGGAGATGGACATCGACAGGCCAAAGAAAACGTGAGTCTTATTAGACTATTTGATTGTAACAGTAATGTTGTTAAAAGTATATTTGTTGAATTCTTACATAATATATTTTTGTGTATAGAATTTGTTTTGAACTGGCTGCACTTTTTTTCTTTAAATCAGTTTAAAATAAATTGAGAATAATAGTATGTTCTTGTAACTGGTATCAAGTAAAATGTTTCTCCCTATGATACTTAAATGAGCATTATCTTACAGTTCTTATTTGCCTATATAAATCAAGTAACTTTTAAAAAAATTGTCTCAAACATTTTGGACAGATTCAATGGAGTGAATTTAAATTTCCTACTTCAGTATCAGTCCTAGTACCTCTCAATGTGTATGATTTTTTTTTTTTTCTTTGTTGACTTCCAGAAAGACAAAATGGAACTTAAGATTTAAAACTGTTCCCTGACTTAATTTATTTATTGTGATTTACAGTTAGAAAATAGTAATTTGCAGCCCCAGTCTCAAACAATACACAGACTGATTCCAAAGAAAATAAATCTTTGATAACAAGTTATGAAAAGAAATGTCTAAACTGTTCTTTTTATCCTGGTTTTTGTTTATGTTTTTAGTAATAACTTTAGGTTCACACATCAGACTTTTGTAGCTTTATGTGTATCACCATTAACTCTGCTTTAGTGCAGTTTTACCCAAACTTCACTCACTGACCTCAATGATAAGAAAACCTTCATGGTTTCTGCTGTAATTGAAAAAACTACCTGAACCACTATGTATGTGACATTTTAGTTAAATAGATTCAATTGCTACTTAAGTTAACCATGTCCCGTAGATGCCGTTCTGTTTGTTTTTCTAATAATATTAAGTGACTACATTAAGTCTTTGTATTTTGGGCCTGCTGATGTATAATTTAAGGTACTATTACCACACTTTGGGAAATGCTGCTGTAGTATGTAGGAAGAGCTGACAAAATTGAAAAGTCACTCCTGTTCTGACATCAAATAAGATGCATTTCTAGAAATCTCGTTCAACTTGACATTTTAAGTAATATACATTTTTAGGAACCTGATTTGGATGCTCTGGCACGGCAGACAGCAGAAAGGAAAAGAAAAGCAGAAATGAGGCATAAAGAAGCTTTGAAAGTACAGAAAAATAAAAAAGAAATACTAATGAAAGAAAAAAACTGGTAATCATTTTTACCACATTCCTAACGGAAACTAACATGGCTGGAAATAAAGAATGCATAGCATACTGTATAAGCAGATACTGTATAGAAGTTACATAGTGTATCCATTGCATTTCTTTAAACTGGGTTTAAAAATAATACAGAGGAGAGTATTGCTTATAAGAAATAATATCAAATGAGTTTTCTAATTGGAGTTAGAACATTCTGAGGTTAGCAGCAATTACTGTTTCTGGAGCAGTGTATAGATCAGAATGCATGTCAGGTGAAGCATACCTTTCTGTCATGCAAGAAAAAAATATTAGGACTGGTGATTTAGCTCAGTGGCATTTAAACACCTGTCTGACAAGCTGAGGTCGTGAGTTCGATCCCTGGTACTGTCCCAACCCGCGGGTAAGTCAATGGAGACCCTAGAGGGAGGGGGATTACAGATTTGGAAGAGACGAGATGTTTAGAATGGATTCAAGACAGTGCTCTGATCAAGTCTCGTTTATTCAAAGAAGAAGTAGCGATTATATAGGGTATTGGGGAAAGAGGGAGTTGGGTTCTGACACGCCGCCAGCAGGTAAACATAACAACAGTGGGAAGTTCTAGCAAGACTGGAGGTTGTAGGGTAATTCGAATCTCCCGTGTGGGCTCATAAGGTGGGCTGATTAGCATAATCACTGCACAGGCCGAGCCACAGGGACATGTGACAGGCTGGGTGAGGAGAGAGGGAAACGTAACTGCCAAATAGAAATTAACATTAAGATGGTTTTTGCCTGCTGATATAAGGTGGCAGCCAATTACAGGGCTTCCCACATGGTACCACCAAAAAAAAGAATATTAATGTAATTCAGGACATTAAAAAGTTGTAAATGTTGGAAATCACTAGTATATTTTGCGTGGTATGAAAGTTAAGGTGCCTCTTACTCTGGTCATCAGTGATCATTTTGTACAGTATCCTATCTCTATCAGCATTTCAGCACTGAACTACTCTAAAGAGCATTAGATGTTTGCTGGGTTGGTCTCCACTGTGGAGCTATATGTTTTTAGGTATGATGCTTTCTATTGGTAAACATTGTCTCAGATCATGTTATATATAGGGTTTTTTTTTTTTTTTTTTTTTTTTTGGTGCTGGGTTTGAACCTATGGTGTTCACACTGAGCTACACCCCCAGATCCTAGCTCCACCCTTTTAAAATTTCTGTTTTTTATTTTGGTGCAATGTCCCAGTAAGTTGTCTGGGCTGGCTCAAACTTGTGATTCTCCTGCTTCAGCCTCTTACAGTGCTGATGTTACAGGCATGCACCTGCATGCTTAACTTAGACTGTTTTTATTAAACTGCATAGGACATTTGTGGGATCAAACTGGAAGACTTCTAGAGATTCTATGGGCAAAAAGTTTTAACACTAAGAAATTATCTGAGAGATTACCTGATGATATTTCTTGTTTTTAAGGCATATAAAAGCTCGGAAGGAAGCATTGCTTGTAGAAAAAGAAAGGTCTGCCAAAATTTCAAGTCTGCCTCTTCCTCCTCCAGCTCCTTTTGAGGTAAGTTACTTTGAACTTTGAGAGAAACTGTGTCATGAGAATGCTTTATTATTGTAATTCAGTGGAGGCTAAAATAATTAGTTTGTTTGAACTTAATTTTTAATTATATATGCAATACACAATTAAATCTAGGATATTTTGAATAATCCTAGACAGCATTTCACCCATGAGTCATTTAATATATTTTTCTGATATATAAGGGTTAAAAAAAATAGTAATTGCTGACCATCGTTGTGCATGCCTTTAATCCCAGTTCTCTGGAAGGCTGAGGTAGGGGATTTGCCAATTCTATTCTAGTGTAATTGAGTGAAAACCTGTCTTTTTTATTAATTTTTTGTTGTTTGTTTTTTGGGGGAAGGAGGAGTCTATCCTTAAAAAAAAAAGCTAGTGATGCTGCTAAGTGCAAAGGCCCTGGACTCAATTCCCAGGACTGAAAATAATGAGAGTCACACTGATATTTTCCCCAATATTATCTGAGACCTGGTATGTGTTCTATTTCTCCATGGCCTCAAAATGTTTGTTTGTTTGTGTGAAAAACTATAATGGTTTCAAATTTTAAAAGCTATTAATCTGCTTTTTTATTTTCTAATATTCTTCATTTGGAAAAAACTCCATTAATTATCCTTTAGACATTTCCACATTCTGAATTGGGATTATTGTAAATACTCACCATTTCATAAGAAATTAAAATTCAGATTAACTTAAGACCCTATTCAGTATGGTTAGGTAATGAAAGAGGTTTGTTTCTGGGATTAAAAGGTTTACATTTGTGACTGATCTCATTTTTAAGCAAATGCTATATAAAATGGAATTTGATTTTAATTTTTAAAAGCATTGCTTCTCTAAAATAGTATTGCTTCTCTTGTAATTAGCTTGTGATTATTGAAATGGCTTTTAGGTAACTATCAAAATTAGTTATTTTTATTTTAGAAGTTTAGAAGAACAAATATAGGATGTCTCAGTTATGTATGAAAGGCTGTTTTATGAATGTACAATCAGCATGAGTACCAGATACTCTTTTAGGTCTTTCATTTTGTCAGCTTTTCTGCTTTAATGTTGCACCATCTGCTAAGTAATATTTGATACAACAAGATTCAGACAGAAGAGTCATATTTCAGCCACTCCCTCGGTACCATCTGAGATAATAAAAGGCAGGCAGTATTTTATCCATATGCCTTGTGATTACCTTTGTCATAAATCCTAATGTTCATAATAAGCTCAGATCAAAAATTTATAATAAACAAAATACGTCTGTGCAAGTGTTTTTATAGGTATGAATTGCATGTAAATATGCAGTCGTTCCCCCCCCCCCTTCCAGCTTCTTATGAAAAAGTTAAATGGTGGCATGGGAGCTGCCTGTAATCCCTACACTTAGCTTGAGGTGAGAAGATGGAGAGTTTGAGGTCAGTCTGGGCTAAATAGCAAGACTCTCTCAAAAACTCAAACAAAAAACTGAATGTGGTGGCTCATATGTTTAATCCAAAGTCTAGGAAGCAGAAGTAGGGGAACCACAATCTGTAGTTCAGTGTGTGACTTAGTAACGTAGTGACCATGTCTCAGTGAAAACTAAAAAGGGCTGTGGATATACTTCATTGTAAAGAACCTAGGTTCAACACCAGTAATGGGAAAAAAGAATGGATATAATAGTGTGCTTTTCCTATAAATACAATGAAGTAATTAAAATTTGATTTGACATATACTGTAAGTACTTCCTTTACTCAGCAGATTTAAAAATGAAATATTTCAGAATTAGGGATTTAGCTCAGTGGTAGAACATTTGCCTTGCGTGTGTGAATCCCCAGGGTTCGATCCCATGTTTGATCTTAGAGCAAAAACAACGTCTTTTTAAATGACTTTAAAAGTTGAAGTAAACTTAACCGAAGTAAGATGGATTACATTAAAGGTACTAGAAGATATTTTTGAAGTATTACTGAATTTGGTATTTTCACTAAAATGTCAATAACAATTCTAGAGAAGAGATTTATTTCAGTGTGAGCAGAATTTTAGGTTACCTCAAGTGATTCTCTTAGTCTGTTTTCTGTTTCTAGTAATATAGTACCATACTGAATTATTATAAAGAAAAGAGGTATATTTTGGTTTACATTTCAGTTCCAAAACTGAAGGGCTACATTTGGTGATAACCTGCTTGCTGGTAGGAGTTCCAAGCCAATTATAAGCATCACATGGTGAGAAACAGAGTATGTGAGAGACCAAGCCATACTGGCTTTTATTGTGTTGATTCTGAAGATAACTCATTGAGATAGTAATCCATCAGTCACTTAAAAGAATGAATTCATTGATGAGTTGATGTCCCTAATCACCTCCCAAAGGTCCCATTTGACCCACTTCTTCATATCTCAAATTGGAGATTAAATTTGAATGTATGTTTTGAAGGGGACAAACCATAGCAAATTAAAATGATTAAAATGCAAAAATATTTTTGCATTGGATCCACCTTTAGGTGAAAATTAATGCCTTTACCCTAAACTGTATATTTTTTAATATTTCATTTTCCAGAACATTGAAGTAAAAAGAATTTCTTCAGTGAAAACCAGCAGTTCTACCTACCATCATATTTCCACTTTTGTGAATGCACAGATGGAAACAAAGCAGGTGACTCATTGTTCATACCCTCTCCTTATTATTGCTGTGTTCACTGAATTGAGTTATGTTTTGGTTCCATGTTTGGTGGTGTCAGATTTCAAAATGTGAATGCTTCCACTAAACATCCTAGATAATAGTGATCACAACCTTTTAAGTATGTTTTGCATTTTCATGTCAATTAATGACATTGTTATATGAATCGAAGTAGATTGCTATTTAAATAGCTGCCTTTTTAAAAAAATTTATTTTAAAGAGAATAAAGCCAAACAAAACAAAATAAGGCAAATCAGAACAAAAAAATACCAGTGATACAAGACTTCAAAGTAAGACGAGGAAATCAACAATGGCTAACATGTCTCTCATTTTCTTCAAAATAGCTATCTATACCATCACACATAATAAAATCAAAACACAACAGCATAAAACCAATGAAAACAAAAGAATGAAAGCATTACAGGACTTCAAAACAAGGTAACAGGAAATTGGCTACCATAATGTCTCTTGTTTTCTTCAAAATAGCTATTCATACCTTCACACATAATAAAATCAAACAAAACAAAACAATAAAACCAATCAAAACAAAAAAATCAAAACATTTAGGACTTCAAAACAAGATAATAGGAAATCAACAATAGTTACCATATTGCAGCTCATTATCTTCAAAATAGCTGGGCATAACATCAAGCACCATAAAATCTTAACAAAACGGGCAGGGATTTAACTCAGTGGCTTAAGTGCCTGCCTGGTTAAGTGTAAAGGTCATGAGTTCGATCCCTGGTACCAAAAAAAAAAAAAACAAAAAACAAAAACAAAATAAGGCAGCATAAAATTAAATCTAATAAAATTATGGAAATGATACAAGAATTCAAAACAAGACAATAGAAAGTTAACGGTGCTTACCACGTTCCCTTTTTCGGTGTTTCTTCTATCACTTTCATAATATCTATTGTGCTTTTTGGATCCCACTAACTCCTTTAGTTTTTTATGCTAGGGTGATAACTCGGTGTTTATCTGTATGAGACCAAACCATTTCACCCAACTGGAGCATGACCTCCAGTAGTATCCATTTAACTAAGAGAGCCTCAGGATTCTCCCTATTTTAAGCTGAGCAGTTTTCCATTGTATGAAAATACCATATCTTTTTTATATATTCTGTGGTTGATGGTCGAGTTACCTTGCTTTTTTCTGGTTTACTGCCACATGGAACAATTGTTTTCTCTATTTTGATTTTCAGTCTGAATTTCCTTTTGAGTTATATGTGTTCCTTTTATACAATGCTGGTTCTTGCTTCTTTATCCATGCTCCTTGTGTTTCTTTTTATTAGTGCATTGAGGCCATCTACATTTTGGTTACAACTAGCATGCATTGGTTCATCTCTGCTATGCTGTCCTCCTGGCCTCCATTTTCCCACTTGTCCAATGGCCTGTCCTGTTTGGCAGTCTCCCTCTGCTGCTGTTTATTGAACCATGGTCATCTTTATTTCTCACTAGACTATCCTTTAGCACTCGCTGTAGGGTGGGTTTGGTGGTCATGAATTCCTTCAGTTGTTCTTTATCATGGTAGTATCTTATTTTTCCATCAGTTTTGAAAGATAGTTTTGCATATCAATCTGGGTTGGAAGTTGTTTTCTTTCAGAATTTGAAGCACTTCACTCAACTTTTCTTGACTTGATGGTTTGTGTTGAGATGTCTGCTGTGATTCTGATGGGGTTTTTCTTTATAGGTGATCTGTTTCTTTTCTGTAACATTTTATAATATTCTGTTCTTGTGCTGAGTTTCTGGGATCTTGATTATTATATGTCTGGGTGTAATTTATGTTTGGTTTTGGGTAGTTTGAGTCCTATATGCCTTGCTTGTCTGTATGCCAGATCCTTTTTCCCTGTTTGGGGAGTTTTCTGCTATTACTTCTGTAAATAGTCTTTTTATGTCATTTGTGTTGACTGCTTTTTCACTGAAACCTAGCACTCTTAAACTGTTTTTTCTTTGGATTGTCTTGCAGCTCTTGCATTGTTATTTCCTGGTTCCTTGTTATTGTTAAGAGATCTTTCCTGTCATGATTGCTAGCTGTGATCCTGTCTTCAAGGTCTGAAACAATCTTTTTCAAGTGGTTTTGCCAGCTTTTGACTGAATTTTTAATTTCTTGGATATCTCTTTGAATCTGTTTCATGCATTGTAAATCCTTCCTATATTGTTCATTCAAGATTTGCATCATTTTTCTATGCCCCTCTTGTTTTAATCTATGTCTTCTTTAAATAAGCTCAGCAATTTTTCTAGTATGTTTGATTTTTTTTATCTGAGACATTATTTCTGATTTGATTGCTTTTATAGTCTTATGAAGTTGTTTCTTTAATTGCTGTCCTCCTAGAGATTTCAGGTATGTAACTTCCATTTTCTTCCATGTCTGTACCTCCCAGGCTTGTTCTGTGTGGACTGGAGGTCTGAGATTGCCTTTTGCTCTTTCGTCTTGACATTTTCCTAGGTTCCTCCCAACAAGCTGTTGTTAGGGTCCCTGGCACTTCTCACATTGGCTGCCCCTCCACAGAGTAGGGGAGTCAGCCAGGCATTCTGAGTTTTCCTGAATCTGAGTTCCCAGAGAGATAGCAGCAAATGGGGTGGCCTTCTCCAGCCCCCTGTAGCTACACTGAGACTTCCTCGTTGGCCAGCAGTGCATGGTGGCAGGGCTGCTTCTTTTCTCACCCTGCCAGTCTACACTGGGACTCCCCAGTGTTGGCAGACACACGGATGTGTTTGTCTGATTCTCCTGCTAGGCAGTGACTGCCTGAAGAAAGCAAGGGTCTTCAGTGGTGGCCGGTGGGTGCATGGGTGTATGTGGCTGTTTCTCCTTGCGCATGTTGTTTGCTTACGGGAGGCAAGCTTTCCAGTGGCCGTGAAGGCAGGAGCACAGAGGTGGGTCTGGCTGCATCTCTCTGCCCATGCTGGCTGCCCACAGGAAGCAAGCTTTATGAGGAATAGCTGCCTTTTAAAATAATTTTTCTTGGGTGTGGTGGTGCACACCTGTAATCCCAGAACACAGGTGACTGAGATAGGAGAATTGACATAAGTTCCAGGCCATCCTGGCCTGAAGTGAGTTCAAGACCAGCCTAAATTACATAGGAACAATTTGTCTCAGAAAAAACCAAAATATAGTAGATTTTAAAACTTTACCATACAGTAATATGTGCTCTTGTGAAAATTGGAGAACTGTGCACATAAGCATAAACTAGGACACCCATGATTCTATCCCCAAAGAGTAATATGATTAATAACTTAGTGAACTTCCTAATACCCTTATATATAAACTTCTCCAGACTTTTCAACATGTTTTTTAAAACCCCCTTAATATTTCCTCAGAAAATTATTTGACCTTTCTTACATTTAGCTTTTTTGGTTTTCTTAGTTTTACTCTTTGCTTCTCTCAATAGTATGCACATAATAAACCTGTATGTTTATCTTCACATGTCTAGTTGTGTATTAAAAGTTGATTCAAGGGGCTGGGGTTTTAGCTCAGCGGCATAAGCGCCTGCCTTGCAAGCAGGCAGTCATGAGTTCGATCCCTGGTACCGATAAAAAGGAAAAAGACAAAAAAAAAAAAAAAAAAAGTTGATTCTGAGGGCCTGAGGATGTGGCTCAGTGGTAGAGTTCTTGCCTTGCATGCACAAGGCCCTGGGTGCCAATCCCCAGCCCCCCCAAATTGATTCTGGGAAAATTTTTGGTTCCAACTGTAACTTTTGATACACGACATTAACTTGGTCTTAAAAAGTACAAACAACATGACGATAGCTGTCCTACCATACATTTGTCTGTTACAGTTTGCAAATTATTGATAGTCTTAAGAATGACAAATGATATACCTTTTTGAAATTTGCTATTTCTTTGTAATAGTAGCTTTTGCTATTTTCATGTTTTACATTTGGCTACTAGGAAGATATGATTATCAATATAGCATTTATGTGGAGTATAGAATGCAGATATTACATTGTGGTTGATTACATAATGGCATATGTTAAAAATCAGTATTCAATCAATATAAAAAATGAGTGTTATCATCATTATGGAATGAGCGTTTAAGATTCAATACTAAACCTGAGATTTACTTAAAATTGTGGAGTATTATGACCTGAATATTAAGGTAGAATAATTATAACTTTAAGTTGTTACTCACTTATTCTTCTGGTTAATTTACTGCATTTTTGCAATATTAAATAGATGCTACCTTTCAACTAAGATTGATGAAGAGAGGTCTTTTTTTTTAACCTGTCAGAAAAAGGTAGTGATGATGAACATTTTAGAGCTTTCAGTTATAACAAACAGCCAGCTGAAGAGTGTGTGTTCACCACCACTGGTATAAGGTATAGGCTGGCTTTGAATTAGTGATCCTTCTGCTGGGATTACAAGGCTCATAGCACCACAGCTAGCAGCTAGAGCTTTTTGTACTGGGAACTCCCGACTTTGCATTTGTTAAGCAGGCACTTATGCCACTGAGCTAAATCTCCGGCTGCACTGATTTAAAGAAGGTGCTTCTGTACCTTTTCAGGAGCAGATTCATGATTTTATAGTTTTTATTCTGATACTGTTTTGCTCTACTTTATCACTTAAGTAAAAATCTGCCCATAAACCTTAGATTTATAAGGTGACAAAAAGCAGTGTGCTTGGCTTTCAAGCACATACTGTAATCCTGGCAGTTTGGGAGGCTAAGGTAAGAGGGCTGCCAATTTGAGGCCAACTTGAACAGTTTTTTCAGAATCTGTTTCAAAATCTAGAACAAAATTAAATAGGATCAGATTATAGTTTAGTGGTAGAGTGCCCTTGGGTTCAACCCTCAGTACTATAAGACAAAACAAAAGAAAAACAACCTCTGAATTTTTATCTGCATCTCAGCTTATGTTGCATGCACAGTAATTTGGCATCTTCCCTGGAGTAGAATTATAATGCAGTTGTGTACAAGTATCTCTTAAAGATATTTGCATTCTTGGTATGCACATTTGGGTGTTTTTCTTTGACAGCTTTTTGCAAATGCTTTTGTTTGTTTAGCTTTTTTAACATGTAAGGGTTGGTACTGCAAATTGTTTTTACCATTCTGAAAAAATAGTTCCCTAGGGGCTGGGGATTTAGCTCAGCGGCATAAGCACTTGCCTTGCAATCAGGCAGTTGTGAGTTCGATCCCTGGTACTGATAAAAAGGAAAAAGACCAAAAAAAACCCCAAACAAACAAACAAATAGTTCCCAAATATTTTCTGTGTTATTAAGTTTATCTTCTGCAAAAGAACGATGAGAGTAGCCTGCTGTAATCCTACCTTGATCATTAATTCTCTACGTTATGTTTTGCTGCACTGACTTTTAGTATACACTACTAAACAGAGCATGATAAAAGCTTGAAAATCCTATATCACCGGTGTCCTTCATGTCTTTTTTTCCCCTTTATTGAGGATAGCTATGTAGTGGTTTTTAAAAATGGGTACTTGATTCTAGAAATACTTCTCTAACCTGATCAGTAATACTATACTGTTTATTGCAAGACCTAGAAATGTGTACAGAATAATGAAATGGAATTAAAATGTCATCGGTCTACATTATCCTACTTGAAAAGATTTCTGTCCAAGCAACTGAACAAAATGCAGATATTTATTTAAAAATATCTCAACATTGTGCATTGCAGATTATAACTCATGAAAAAGTTTTTCAGAAACATTTTTTCTAAAACTTTCTTGGACTAGGATTCATAGTTTTTGCAAATTTTACATCTTTCATTTCCAGATACTGAAAATGGAATGTAACAATTATTTCAATATAGTTTTTCTTTTATAATTAATTTGTTTATTTGTGGTATGAGAATGGAACTCAGGACCTTCACACTGGGCTGTGTCCCCAGCTCTTCTTTAAAAAAAACCAATATGTTTCTTGTGAAAAAGTTTCCCAGGTTGGGCTCTTAATTTGTGATCTTCCTGCTTTGGCCTTCTGAAATAGTGGGATTATACGTATGTGCCACCACACCTGGCAAGTTTAAATTTTTAATTGTATTTATACAAATTCTATAGGTGATTGTCTTCCTAAAGTATTCTTATAAAATCTTTTAAAATTTGACAACTAAGGATAAAATTTATTGGGTTTGCCGATGCTTTTCTTTTTCATTTTTCTCTCTTGGAATCAAACCCAGGACTTTATACAGGCTAGCTAAGTACTCTACACCCAACCCCTAAGCCCCTGAATTATTTTCTAACCTGTTATCTTCTTCAGATATTTGATATGCTGTATCATCTCTGGTTTGAATGTATTTGTTACTCATATTGTGTACTGTTTTGAAGTTTTTCCTTCCCTTCAGATTTTGGTTTACTCCTGGCACAGTGGTACACTCCTATAATTCCAGCATTTGTAAGGCAAAAGTAGGAGAATTAGAGTTCGAGGTCTTCCTGGACTATATAGTAAAACCATGTCTTAGGAAAGAAATTTTTTTGTTCATCAAAATTGAGTGTGGTGGTCGATACTCATAATCACTGCATTCTCCAGGCTGAGGCAGGAGGATCATCACTAGTTCAAGGTCAGTTTGGGGTATGGAGTGAGTTTAAGGCCAGCTCGCACTATAAAGCAAGATCTTGTCTCAACCAAAAAAAAAAAAAAAAAAACTATATTCTGCTTTTAATTTATCCTGAAAAGTTACAAAGAATTCCTTAGAAACTTCTCGAAAGCTTTATGGTGTAAATGGAAGAAACGTTTTTAAAGATTAAAGTTATATATGTTAATATACCAAATAATTCTGTGAAAATTATAATTTTTTTAATGTAACCTTTTTTGTTTTATCTTGTTTTATTTAGTTTACATAAAATTTTATTGGCTTACATATATTTTTAATAAACTTGTTTGGCCTGTGTATTCTTTATTAATAATGATTGATCTCTTTACCTATTTATTTTGTTACTTGGGTTTTTAATCTTACATATAAAGTCAGTAGTTTTTATTGTCACTGTGATTTCAATTGGATGTTAGAATTTCAACATGTAAAGTATATAATAACTTTTCACTCTTGGTTACCTTTAAGATGATTATCTATAATTGAGAGTGAATGTTTAAATAATAAGAGTAAATCCAGGTTGTATTACTTACTATTCTTACCAGTGAGATATAATGACTCAGTGAGACACAATAGCATCATCATGAGTTATGCATAAAATCCAGAAAGCCAAAATGTATACTATACTAAACTAGATATTTGGGCTTTAACTCAGGCTGAAATCAAGCAACAGATGTTGGCTAAAAGTCAAAGCACTTGTATAGATTACTTAATACAGCCATAGATGTTTGTGTTTTCTGTGAGGGTGTTTACCACTATGTTTGCATGAGTAAAATCTGATCCAGTTTGAAATGAACAATTTATAATACTTTGCTAATGATTTGATCCTTTTTATAGATACATGCTGTCAGTAATTGTGGGCATTTAAAAATTTAACTCCTTTCTATATAATTACGTCTATAGAAGCAGAAAACATGGTTTTAAAGTTGTTTTGCTCTTTAGGTTTTTTTTCACACTTTAAAAATATTATTCTAAAATGTTACTGATTGACTGCTAGCCAGATGCTCATTTGGCTGCTGAAGAAGAAGCTAAACGATTGGAAGAACTGCAAAAACAGGCAGCACAAGAGAGATTGGAACAGTTTGAAAAGGCACATGTACGGGGTTTCCAAGCCATGAAAAAGATCCATTTGGCACAAGTAAGAATTAAATTCTACCTATACCTACTTAGGCTTACGGATAACTTTGCAGAACTGATTAATGAATGGGCTCAAAGTAGAGGGTGTGAAAAATGTTCTGTATATTATCTGTTCCTATGATTTTACTTATGCCAACTTCCTTTGCCTCTCCTCTTTCAGATTGGATTATAGTGTTCTCATCGTGTATCACTAGTCTTAAACTTTACTAGTAATTATTTTCAAAAGCTTAGTCCAAACATTGTATAGATTAATCACTTCTCATTTAATTGCTATACTTGCAATTTGTGCTCACTTCTTATGTATTTACGGAGCCAAGCATTTACTGGCTTTATAGTGTATTGATGAAAGGTAAAGTCACAATCTTTGCTGTCATGTAGCTTTGAAAAAGTGACTGTTATAGACGTGCAAAATACGTAGTTTTAGCCTTACTTCTGTCATGTTTTGTTCAGTTAGAGTTTTTCTTTCTTTTTTTTTTTTTTTTTTATCGGTACTGGGGATCGAACTCACAACTGCCTGCTTGCAAGGCAGGTTCTTATGCCGCTGAGCTAAATTCCCCAGCCCCATCAGTTAGAGTTTTTTCTTAAACATAGCATAAAAATGATTTATCTTGTTACAAGCCTTGTTTTTCTAAATTTGACTAATACATTTGGATATTTCAAACACTCATTTTAGGAATAGGTTTCTAAGTATATCTGGAAATTAAATGCTTATATTATAAACTTCATTCATAAACCTCAAATAAAGGTATGACCTCTTAATTTTTAACTTTTGCTAACTTGAAGTGAATTATAATTAAAATAAGTGGAATTCCGAATTTATTAGAAATTCTTACATAAGGTTTAAACCTATAGAAAATATACACATGAGAAGCTATCATAAACTGAACAGATTCTTCCATAAATGCAGTAATACTTAGTGGATATGAAAGCATGGACTTCACATCCAGTTTGCCTGGATTTACCTCTGTTTGCTTTTAGGAAAGTTACTTACTTCCAAGTTCTGTTTCATTTTCAGTTTTATCAGTGTTAATGAGTTTAGTAAACTCCTTAGAAATGTATGTGGAATTTCATAAGCTCATAATAAATCTTAGTGGTGTGGTCATTGTTATTTTAAATAGTATAAGTAGAGTAACATACCCAAACTTTCAGTGAGATCGTACACTTAATTCATATAATTCTGTAGTTAATTTGCTAAGATGAGTCTTAAATGAATTTGTTCATAATTTAATTGTTTCAGAGCATGGCCCAAAAAAATTCATCTGCCAAAGGCAGACTATTTAAGGCTTTGCAAAAGAATAAGTAATGTGTTTATCACTTGGCCAGGCTCTTTCTGACTTACTGTAAACTTAGTGTTTCTTATCTAAGAATCAAAAGCCACCTAATCTGTCTGCTAGTAGATCTCCTTTTCACTGTCTGAACCTTTATGTACAGACCTTGTTACCATTTGAGACTGTGTTTTCTGCTGGGTCTGTTTTAACTAACATTTAGCCTCCATCTGCCTCTTCAACTTTGTCTTCTTTTCTTTACTCACCATTGTTCTCCGTGTCCTGCTCTTTTTGAATTCTTTATGCCTTCATCACCACACTGTTGTGCTCCATTTATTTATTTATTTATTTTTGTACTGTTCCTTCACCCACTTTTATCTATTTAAATCTTCATTCCAAGGACTGAATGGTCTCTTTCTCTTTAACCTCTACCATCAAAATTCAGTTACATAACCTCATTAAACCTGCTTACATTTTCATATTAGCTATGTTGTAAGCTTAAAGGGGTACAAACATATCCCACCTTCCACTCCTGACTTTTTTTTTTCCTCTGGTAGTGCTGGTGATTAAACATAGGTGTTCCCTACATGGGAACTGCATTAGCACTGTAGATCCACTTCAGTTCTGGGAATTGTAGAGTAAGGAGTAGGCAGGTGTAGTGGTGCACGCCTATAATCCCAGAGCTCAGGAGACTGAGTCTGGAGGAATGCCATGAGTTCAAAGAGAGCTTGAGTTCAATTGTGAGTTCAGCACCAGCCTGAACTGCATAACGAGATCCTGTCTCAAAGAGAAAAAAAAAAGTGTAGAGTAACAAAAAATATCATCTGTTGAATCATAGGCATTGTGGTTCTTAGTAGTGATCTAAAACGTGTATATGGAAAACTGGATCACAGTACATTTGGGAGCTATGGCAACGTAAATTGAAAGTACCCCTTACACCCACATACACACCATAACTTGAAGTATCTGGCATTCAGCAAATGTTTGTTGAATGCATAAATTAATTAATGTAATTTGTCTTATTGCAGAACACATGATGGAGGAGAGGGAATCCTAGGCACTGTTGCTCATGGTATCCCCACATTAATGTTAGTATCTGGTTTGACTCAGTTCTCATTAATCTCTTTATTCTTGAAGACTCAAGAGAAACTAATGAAAGAACTTAAACAGCTGCAACAAGAAGACCTGGCACGTAGAAAACAGACTGTAGCACAAATGCCACCACAAGTAGTTGAACTTCCATACAAACGCAATGAAATGAAAGAAGAATGGCAGAGAGAGCTGGAATTCGCATTTGAAGATATGTACAATGCAGACAGGAGTAAGATATTTTCAGTAGTGCTTTTAAATGTTTTGGTGGGAAAATGTAAAAACAGTTTTTGTTTTGAAATGAGTTTTCAATTTGAAAGAGGCCCTTATAATTTAGATTTGGGAACTATGATGGCCTTTAGCATTTTTGTGATTATATTGTTTTTAATCACTGGAATGGAAATGTGTCTCTTATTTCTTTATTAAGAGGTGAAAGGAGACCTGGTCTTGCATCTTGAACCAGAACCTTTGCCCAGTGTGACTGATCAGATCCAAGATGAAGAATTAGACCTTTCAGTGGACCAAGAAAACATAGGTGAAGCAGAGGACCTTCCATTGACAGAAGCTGACATACGTTCTAGTGAAACAGACGGTAAAATCCCCTTTTAACTGAATATTACAGTATTTCACAGACAAAAATATTATTCATTAACAGGAAAATTAGGTCTAATTTAAGTGTAAAACAATAACTGATATAAGAGTGGTGGCAGGAGGAAACAATGTTTTCGCATTTCCATCCTTATAGATTCATTTCATAAACAGAAGAGGGAAGTTCCATAGTGTGGAGATTTTTAGGTTAAGTTAAATGTTCAATTCTGAATTCACGTGAAGGGTTAACATTTGTTTTTAGACTTCATCAGAAGTCCAGTTTTGTTCCCTTACTAGTACGTATTTCATTTATCACAGTGAATAGTACAGACTTTGATGTCCTGCCTTCACCTCTGTCTCTAACATCCTGAATTTTTTCTCTTTGGTGTCCCACAGACATTTAAAACTCAGTATCCAGCAATAAAATTTTCATTATCTCTTGTAAAACCTACTTTTCCTTCTTTATCTTGGTGATGGTACCATACTCAGCCCAAATCTGTAGGATTCAATTTACCCTTAATATTTCTCTCTCTTTTATTGTCCACTCCTCTTCATTGAATTGACCTGTTTTCCTTAAAGTATCTCTGAATTTTGCCTTTTTTTTTTTTTTTTCCTGGTTCCAGGAATCAAAGAGCTTTGCCTTTTTAAATAAAACACTCAGCCTGTCTTAAAATCTGAATCTTTTAATGTAGAAGCAATCAATTCTTCAGGGTTCCACCTTTATGTAGGTCTCCTATTTGATTCCTTTGTCGAGGCGCAAGGCCTTATTTTACCTTCTCCTATGCCCACATTGCTATTTAAACAAGTATATGGTAGAGTGTTTTGACTTTCACTTAAATTTGATAAAAAATGGTCTTAGTACTGCTTGTCTTTTTCCCAAGGTTCCCACCTAAACTTCATTTTTGGCTCTTTCAAAATGTTTTTTCTTGCCATATCAGCAATGTGTTAAAAAGATGTTTTTACCATTTCTTCGAGCTTTTTTAGTCATTTTAGTGAAGGAGAGAGAATATTATTCAGATATCTGATTTGTCAGAATTAGAAGTGTGGCCTTGCCTAAAGAGGAGATATTTTTCAGCCTTTGCTGATCCCTTTTAGACTTACTGGATTGGTATTGCCGAGTCTTGATTTTTTTTTTTTCCATAAAAACCTAGGAAACTGGGCATTATGGCACATTCCTGTAACCCTAAGAATGCCAAAGGCTGAGGCAGAAAGTTTACTTGGTGTCAGGAAGTCAGGGCAAACCTGAACAGCATAGTGAGACCCCATCTCTTTTAAAAAAGAAGGGGAAAAAAAGACAACTAAGAATTCCATTGTTTATTTAGTCATTATTTTAAAATATTACTGCTTAATGCTTCTTAAAAATGAGTGGGTTAGCCAGGTGTAGCATTGCATACCTGTAACCCCAGCAGTCTAGGAGGCTAAGGCAGGAAAATGACAAGTTTAAGTCTAGTCCGGACAACTTAGCAAGGCCTTGTGTCAAAACATTTTTAGAAAGGGGCTGGGGATGTAGTTCAGTGCACAGGTCCTGGGCTCAGTCCCGAGAACCACATACACACACACACATAAAAAGTTTATGATTCTGTGTATATGTAAGTTAAAAACAAATCAAGTAGACAAAATGAGCTGTGGTTTTAAAGAGTAGTGGTTATCTTTAGAGTATATTGATTGAAAAGGGCTATGAAAAGCCTAGTTGTGGAAATGTCCCACATAATGATCTAGATGCAGTTGCAAAGATGTACCTGTAAAATTCATTAAGTCATAGCTTTAGATTTTGTGTACTTTATTATCTGTAAGTTATAACTAACCCAGTATTTGTAAAAACGCAGTCACAAAAACAAACATTTTGGTAGTTTTCAATATCTCCTGTAGATACTGTTAGGTTTTATTTCTTGATTAAGCCAAAGACCTTCATGCTTGCATTTTGTTTCTATAGAGAATTAGTTTTAAATTTTAGCATTTGACATCAACCAGTATGGAAGAATATTTTAATCAATATTTCATTTTTGCTTTTTTGATAGTTGAAAAGATTCTTACGAAGATAGGTGGGAGAAATTTTCTCAGATAATACCAGGAATGATTTCAGAGAAGTTGATTTGCTTTTAGATTTTAAAGTAAAGTTTTCTTCTGTGGCCTGCTAAGAAGTACAGAGCTGTATTTGGAACCATTCCCTAGCAAACAGTATAGAACCTTACAGTTTGTATTCCCAGTATTAACCTTACCCAGAAGTTAATTAGGAGGTATGCCATCTGCCATCATGTAGCAAGCAGTCCTCTTGGTAAGTTTTTAAGCTTGTGATTTCTGTTACTGCATATTTTTGGAAAATAATTGAATTTTGGCATCTTTATATGTAAATTTAGGTTAAAAATATTATTCCTGATGATACATATATGAACAGAATCAAAAAGCATTGTATCTATTGCTAAATGGTAAGTATTGTCAAAAATAAAGTTGTTCTTTTTGTTTTAATCAAGTGATTGGTATAGAGATACAACAAGTATAGAGATACAACAGTTTGCGTGGCATGAAATAAGTACGGAGTAAGAGAGTTTTTGTTTTTCTTTTTTCCTCTTAGATTCCTTGGCAATAAAGACCCAAGAGCTCCCTTCAAAAGTTCTTTTTAAAAAATTACTAAATAAGATTCGAAATCAAAAATCTCTCTGGACGATTAAATCCATGTCTGAAGATGAAAGTGAAATGATTACAAACGTTAGTGAAGCTGAGAGTAAAGTACCAACAGTTGAATCTGGAACAATTGCCAGTGAGGAAAGAACGCTATCCACAGAACAAGAACATGGTAATTCTCCCCACTAGTCCTGTTGTATAGTGTATAAACCTTTGTAACTTTAAAACTATGCTCATTTTTTGAAAAATCAAAGAATAAAGATTTAAAAGCATAGTCCTGTTACTTAAAGGCAACAGAAATTGAAAATCTTGATCTCCTTGTTGCCTACTTTCATTGTGATATTATTAATCATTTATGTATATAAATTCCAGTGTAATTGAAATTACAAAATTAACCAGTGCCCTGTTACTGGAATTTTAGGCTGTTTCTTTTGTTCATTTGTTTCTTTGTTCTAGGTATTTTTGGTGAAGTCTTTGCCCACGTCTTTATTTCCTTAGGAAAAACTTTGAAGAATTTCTGAATAAAAGATTAGAACCTGTTCATGGCTCATACTAGCTGTAGTTTCTGTTTCTTCTACATTCCCACCCATGATTAGGTTTCTTTGTTAATTTTAAAGAATATCTTTGGTTATAAGTAGGCAATTAAATATATTACTAGAATTTACAAAAATCATGCCAACAATATTTCCTTCAATTATATTTGAGCAAATGAGAATTATAAAGATGTAACTCTTCTTTGATTTGTTTCTTGATTTTGTATTTTAGACTCCATTAAAGATGTGTTTGTGGGCCGGGGATTTAGCTCAGGGGCATAAGCGACTGCCTTGCAAATGCGTGGTCTTAAGTTCAATCCCTGATACCAAAAAAAAAAAATGTGTTTGTGATTGTGTGAAAATGTTGTGCTAGCAGACTGTTGAGAGAAGTGGTTTATGGTCTGTATTTGATGTACAACAGGAAGCCTTGAAATAAAACACTTCATTTGGTCTTTTAATCCTTCTTCATGGTTTCCTTCTCTGGTTATCCATTTTTCTACAAACAGTAGCTGTTGTCTCCAGAACTCATTCCTCAATTCATTTCTTTGCTTTAAAACTCCTTAATTTCTAATGTCATACTTTATGTCACTATCTGTATACCGGTGTCTTCCAAAGTGTGTTTCTAGGCCTGTCTCCTCCCATTTGAATTCAACTCATATACTTAACTATTTATTTGCCATCTTCCCTTGTATATCTACTAACATTTCTCCCCCAAACCCTTTTGCTTATTTGAGACAGGGTCTTACCATGAGCATCTCAAATTTAAGATTCCCCTACTTTAGCCTCCTGAGTGTTTAGATTATAATCCCAGTTTATACCATTATGCCAAGATTTAATAACAACTTAAATTTATCCAAAACTGAGTTCCTGATATCCCCTCATAACCCATTTTCTTACAATCTTTCACAATTTAAAAACTGGGGATATTTTAATTCCTTTCATCAAACCAAAAAGTTTGTAGTCATTGCAATTAGATTGCAAATCCAATTGGTCCTATCTTTCAAATGTACATATAGCCCAACCGTTTCTCACCACTTGCCACCCCATTTTAAGCCACATTTTTTTATAGTACAAATTCCTTTTTTGTGTGTATGGTATAGGATAGAACTCAGGGCACTGTAGTGCTGAGCCACTTCCCAAGCCCTTTTTATTTTTATTTTGAGACAGATCTCACTAAGTTCCCCAGGCTAGCCTGAATTTGGAATTGTCTTGTCTTACTCTGATGAGGATGTGGCCACTGTGCTGGTTCTACTATAAATTCTTATAGTGATCTTTGTCTTCAGCTTTCGTTTCTCCCTCCTAAAGTCTGTTCACTGAGTGATCCTGTGAAAACACAATGCAGCTTATTCCATTCTTCTCGATGACGTCCTCTAATAACCTCCAGTCTCACTCAGGAAAGAATCAAAGTGATTACAGTGGCATCACAGCTTTGTATGGCCTACACACACGCATATACCACTGCTATCCTTATCATCCTTCTGACTCCATTTTCTGCCACACTTTCTACCCCAACTGCTGTTCTGCAGATGCTGGCTTTATTTCTCAAACAGACCAGGCATGTGGTTCATGTGGAGTTTGTGAGTTCAATCCCCAGGATGACAAAATTAAACAAGGAGAAGGGGAAGGTAACTGGATTTTAACTAAGATATTTAGGTAGATCAAGACTAAATGGTAATTGGAATGCAAATTTTTTTTTGTTATTTTGCTTCCTGTAAGCTTAATAATAATAGGATTATAATGACAATGGTGTTATCTGTTACAGTTATGGAAAGTGATTTACTGACAATTGAGTCTGGACCACTTACAAGTGAAGATAAGCCACTTTCATGCCACACAGACTCTGGAAAGGAACAAGGTGCTTCTTTTTATCACATCTTAAGACTCTACATCTTTTTCCTAGTAAGCTTATATGTAATAAATGAGTGGAAGGGCATCATAGTGGGCTCAAATTCCTGAATTATTGGAACTAATTTTTGTTTTGGGGATTCTCATAGAAATAAATGAGACTCCACCTGTCACAGCTGTAGCTCAGAGTTCATTTTTACTTCACCCTCAAGAGGAAGCAGTCAGAGTTAGAATGTCAGCAAAGCAGAAACAGGTAATATGAAATTTTATTTTTAAAGCTCTCTTTTTTCTCCTAAGTAGTGAAATTTTGTTTGACTTGTGTAATTTGATTCACCACCTGACTTTTTGATATCATGTTTCCTACTTTGTCTTATATAAACATTCCCCTGATAAAATACAACTTATTCTTTGTACTTCTCATTTGGCCCTTACTGTACCTGCTTTGTATAAGCTTTTCAAAGGCAGACGCTATCTTTAGAAAATTTAGTTTGGGCAGGGGATGTAGCTTGGTGGTAGAGCACTCACTGACCATGTGAAGGCTATGGATTCAATCCTTAGTACCTGCCAAAAAACAAGACAGGCACAATCATTGTAGCATCTGCTACAGTGCCTAATATATTTGGACATTGAAATGGGCTTTGTAAGCCCCAAAGACCTTTGGAAAATAGTTTTTTAATGGGAAAAATTTTTAATTAAGCTTTCTTTACTGTAATTTTGATGGTTTTTTTTTTTTTTGCACCGGGAATTGAACTCATGACCTAGCGCTTGCCAGGCAAGCGCTTATGCCACTGAGCTAAATCCCCAGCTGCACTTTACTGTAATTTTATTGTTTAGTGCATGTTTGTAGTACAGAATAATGATGTTTGGTGTGTATGAGTAACATCTTGATCCTGTTTTGTTTTGTTTTAAAGACAGGGTCTTGAGCCGGGGATTTAGCTCAGTGGCATAAGCACCTGCCTGGCAGTGCGAGGTCATAAGTTTGATTCCTGGTACTGGGAAAAAAAAAAAAAAAAAGACAGTCTTCCTCTGTACTTCAGGCTGACCCTGATCTCACTATGTAGCCCAGGCTGGCCTTGAATTCACGGTAGTCCTCCTGCCTCAGCCTCTCAAGGGCTGGGATTGTAGGCATGTACCACCATGCCCTACTTCTTGATTATTTTACCTTCCCTTTCCTCCCTCCCATGATTCCCATCCCTGTCTCCAAGAGTCTACTTTCTAGTTTAGGTTTCCCATATAGGAATAAATATCTAACTTTCTGAGTCTTGACTTCTTTGGTTTAGCATCAGGGTTTTAAGTTTTATCCATGCAAATTATGTAGTTTTATTCTTTATATGGCTAAATTATATTCCATTGTGTGCATACACCACATTTTCTTTACCCATTTTATCCTTTGATAGGGATCTAGGCTATTTCCAGGTCTTACCTATTGTGAATTGCACTTTTATAAATATGGGTTTAGATGTATCATGATGACTTAAACTCTCGAGAATATACTTCAGGAGACATAAATGGATCAAATGGAATTTCTATTTTTAGTTTTTTGAGGAATCTCCATACTGATTTTCATAATAGTTACAATACCTTACATTACCACTGACAAGGTAGGAAGGTTCTGCTTTCCCCACATCTTTGCCAGCATTCTTTTGTGTGTTTGTGTTCCTAATGATAGCCAGCTAATCAGGGTTACATGGAATCTCAGAGTTGTTTAGATTTGCATTTCTGTAATGGCTAAAAATGTTGAACAATTTTAATATATTCACTTGCTCTTTTTACTTCCTTTTTTGGGCAATGTCTTTTCAATTCATTTATGCCTATAATTCCAGTTACTTGAGAGACTAGGCAGGTAGCTTGTGGGTTTGAGCCCAGCCTGAGCAATGGAGTGAGATGCTGTCTCAAAAGAGAAGGAAAGGGAGGGGCTAGGGATTTAGTTTAGCAGCACAAGCACCTGCCTGGCATGTGCGAGGTTGTGAGTTCGATTTCTGGTACAAAAAAAAAGGAGAGGAGGAAAGGAAAGGAAAAGGAACTTAAAAGGCACTTAAAAAAAAATTCAGTGATACTATGATGAAGGAAAGTAAAGAAAATGACAGACACTCAGTTATAGCCACTATTGTCTGGTGAAGGGTATCAAGTCAGAACTTTTTTTACTTTGAAAAAAAGCTTTGCTGGCTTATCTCTAGTAGAAGTACTCCTCTTTATAAAACTATACATATATTGGGTTTTTTTATTCAGTAAGTTTTTATCTGTGTATCAAAGCCTGTACTAGGTACTATGTTTGGTAGGCAACAACACTAGATAATTACTGTATTGCTGGTCATAATGACACATGACTATAATCCTAGCACTGAGAAGGCTGAGCCAAGAGGATTCCTGGGGGTTCAAGGCCAGCTTGAGCTACATGCTGAGTTCAAAGCCAGCCTAAACTATAGTGAGACCCTGCCTCAAAAAGAAAAAAAATAGATAACTACTGTCTTAGTGAGTATCCCTAAGAAATCAAAGTGTTTTAGAAGGCCTACATTTTTATTTCTTTAGTCATGCATACTGAGAACAATGGAAAATTAAAAATATAAACATAGAATTTGGCTGCATACCATTTGCTACTTCTCTGGGAGTGGTTCTTCAGTGGTACTCAGGATTTCCTTATGCTTTCAGAAGATAGAAATAGTAATGTGTTTGTTCCTTCCTCTCTTACTCTGTTGCCTTGCCTTGGTCTCCCTTTTCTCTCTTTTCCTCCTTTGCCATGTCTTTTATCTTCCCCCTGGCATTGCCAGTAACACAGATGAACACCTTTATGGATAAGTCATGGATAGGCTATATTCTTTGCTGTAAAACCTATTGCTTTTTCATGTTTTGTGTTTTGTGAGTTTGTTATTAACAGATTGATAGTATTTTTATTACCTAGATAATGGAACTAGAAGAGCAAAAGCAAAAGCAGTTGGAATTACTTGAACAAATTGAACAACAGAAATTAAGATTAGAAACTGACTGCTTCAGGGCTCAGCTGGAAGAAGAAAAAAGAAAAAAACCTCAACCAACTGGGGTAGGATGCATGAAATGTCTACATAAATCATTGGAGCACAAGAAAATATTAGCACTCACAGAATTTAGAAAAATAAAATGTCTCTAATCTTTCTTTGCTTACTGAATAATGTATATATAATAACAAGTTTCTGTCAGCCTAATGGCTTTTTGCTTTGAGTGTCCATAGAGTGCAGTATAAATGTGCTATCAGTAAAATTATGACTGTAATGTATATGTGATATGTAGTGATGTATGTCTGTAATCCTAGCCCTCTTGAAGGCTGAGGCATGAGAACTACATGTTTTCGAGCCTAGCCCTGATAGCTTTATGATTTAGTGAAACCTTATCTTAAAGTTTTTCAAGAAAGCACTGGGGATATAGCTTAGTGTGAAGGCCCTGAGTTCTGTCCCCAGTAAAAATAAGTAAGTAAATAAAGCTATATAGTAATTTACAATTGTGGTCTATGACCATACCACCCTGAATGCACCCAATCTCATCTGATCTTGGAAGCTAAGCAGAGTCATGCCTGATTAGTACTTGGATAGAAGAAATATCCAATTATGGAAGTTAAGTTTACCTTATTATTTGTTCTGAATTTGCCTTTTAATTAACAGTTTTGTCTTTTATCAGGTTGGCACTGCTCCAGTACCATTCCCTGTATTTTCTGATGAAGATAGTCGTAGGCAGATAATTCGTAACTACCAACAGCAGCTTTTACAACAAAACAGGTATTGGCTAGGGTATAATTTCCATATTACAGTGTAGATATGTCTTTTGTCTTTAATGAAGATCTAACTTGAATATGGATTTCTAAGTTTAATGTGTAAAAACTTTGGTGCATTTGTTTCATTTGTTATTGTGTTTGTTCTTGGTAGGTTACACAAGCAATCTGTTGATACAGCCAGAAGACGATTACTTGAATATCAGATTTTGTTAAAAGGAAGGTTCCCATCAACATCAGCTACATCATTGATATCTGATTCCATTATAACCGTACCACCACAGAAATCTGAAAAATCCACTGCTATATCACAACCTTGGGATCAAAGTCAGAGATTCAAGTCGAGTCTTAACAAACATCAACCCATTCAGATCTCGAAATTAGAGCAAGACTATATTCATGTACCAAGACAAAGTCAGTTTGCACAGATAAAAGAAACATCAAGCACTTCAGATTTTTTAGCCAAGCAATCTTTGGAGTCACAAGATCACCTAAGGCAATTCTCTCAGATTGAAACACAAAAGGGAGACTACAAACTAATCCCTAAAGGTTTACATGTGTTTTCAAGTACTTTATCACATGATAGACAGCCACTGTTACAGGACACTGGAAAAATATCTGAAACATTGAGGCCAACAGCATCTCAATCTGTAGATTCCCCCCAAATAGTGGTAGACAGTGAAAATATTTTTTTGAAACTAACTGAACCTTCATTTCTACCACTGGTACCTGAGCATTCTTTTACTATTCTCCCTAGTAAAGTAGAATCTAGAAGAGTTCAAGAACCCTTTTCAACCGTGAATAAAAGTGCAGTTTCTGTAAGCCATTCTGTAATCCCCAGCCAAATATGTGATCAACCTGTTCCATCCTCAGCCACTGTCACAACCCAGCAAAATAATTTGAAGGTTCTTCAGGAGCAGTTAGAACTACAGAAGGAAGTTCTTCAGGCAAGACAGGAGGCTCAGGAACAATTGCTTTTGCACAAACAGAAAGATTTGGAAGAGCAGACTGGTCTTTCTGTATTCTTCCCTATGGCTGTGCCAGATTCCTTTGCTTCACTGCCTTCTGCTATAACTGAATCTGGGAGAATCCAGGAACCTTTTCCAAACAAGAATGCTCCTTCACTTTTCTCAGGCCATCCTGTCCTTCCACATCTTCAAGACAGTCTTTTGAGTTTTTCACAGCCTATCTTAGCACAACAAAATAATTTAAAATTTCTCCAACAACCATTAAATATTCAAAGAGATAACCTTCAGGCTAGGCGGGAAGCTCAGGAAGTGTTATTTGTACATAAACAGAGTGAACTGGATGGAAGAGTATGTTCTGAACAGGCTGAGCCCTCTTCTCTGCCATGTCAGGTGGCTAAGCATACATTGGCTTCACTACCTTTTCCTGACAGAAAATCTGAACCAATCCAGAGGCAGCATTTATCTAGGGAAAAGGTGCTTCTTTCAAGTAAGTCTGAAATCCCAAATTCTCAGAATGGGTCATCAGATTTCCTTCAGCAGTTTCTACCTCATGATAATTTGAAGTTACTCCAAGGACAAGTGACTCCAGAGACAAATACTCTTCCAGCTAGATGTGATACACAAGTGGAATTACTTTCACATGGTCAAAGGGATTTGAGGGACAATTTGCCTGGACAGATGAGTTCATCCTTACAAATGGTTATTCAACATTCAGATGCCTCACAAACCTTTGCTACTGTTGAACCCAAAAGAGTTCAGAAACTTAGTTCATTTGAGGAAAATATTATTCCCTGTAGTCATTTGGTAATTCCACCATTTCAAGATAAGTCTCTTAATTTCCCACAGCATAGCCTCCTTCAGCAAGAAAATTTGAAAATACTTCAGGAGCAGTCACACATACAGAGGGTAATACTTGGTGCTAGACGAGAAAACCAGGAATTTGTATGTAAACAAAGTGAATTGGAAAAAAAGATTCCTTCTGAACAGACTGGTACCTCTTCATCTTTACCCCAGATAGTTGAATCTGAAAGATTCAAGGAGTTTGTGTCAGTTCCAAGTGATGTAAATGGTTTCTTTAGGTATTCTAAGATTCCAAGATTGCAGGAAGGGCTTTCACACCATATGCTACCTCCTCAAGATAATTTGGAAGAACACCAAAAATGGTTAGACACAGAAAAAGAGGTCTTTCATCTTAATCAGAAAACCCAAGAAAATGCATCGTCTGAACAAACTGGCTTGGCTTCCTTTGTACCCCAATTAAGACAACTATCATTTACGTCATTACTTTCTGTTGGCTCTAGTACAACCCAGGATCCTCTTTCAACAGAGAGTGATAGTAAAATTCCTTCAAGCCATTTTCAGATCCCACAACTGCAGGATAGACTTTTGAAGATGTCACAACTTATCCAGCCCCAACAAGATAATTTGAAGGCACTTCAAGAAAAGCTAGCTATACAGCGGGAGGCCATAAGTCAATCTAGACAGGAAGCTCAGGAAAAAATACTTTTACTTAAACAGAATGGGTGGAAGGGAAGAGTATCTCCTGAGCAGGTTGGTACTTTCTTACCCTTAGTAGCACAACATTCTTTTGCTTCCTTACCTCCTGAATCTGAGCAAACTCAAGAACTTCCTCCAGCAGGTAAGACAATTTCAGGTCATTCGGAAATACAGAGATTTCCCAATAGGCTGTTGAGTTTATCACATCCTGTTTTACTTCAAGAAGATAATTTGACTGCACTTCAAAAACACATACCTACACAAACAAATTCCTCCCCTTCTATTGAGAAAGCCCAGAAAGAATTAATGTTGCCCGGACCATACAAATCTGAGGAAGAGATACTTTCTGAGAATTTTATCCAACCTCACCATGCTGATTTGAAGTCACTTCAACAGCAATTAGATACACAAAAGAAAGCCATTCGATCTGGACAGGAAGTCCAAGAAGAACTGCTTTTGCAAAGATTAAGTCAGTTGGAACAAAGGGTGTCATCTGAGCAGATTAGCTCCTCTTCACTTTCATCCCAGGTGGTATTGCCTGCTGCCCATTCTGAAACAATTGGGAAGTCTTTCCTAACCAAAAGCAATGATACTGAGACCCCAGGGTCACAGGCTGGGTCTTTGAGTTTTTCACAGCCTTTGCTATCCCAGAAAGATAGCTTGACAGCACATTCTCTTGAGAAGTGTCAGGCAGAACTGCTTTTAAGCAGGCACAGTAAGTTGGGCAAAAGTGAACCTGTTGAGCATTCCATCTCCTCTTCATTTCTGTCCCAGGAAGCAGAGCATTCATTCATTCCATTACCATTTGCAGAAGCTAAATCTAAAAGTATTTGTGAGTTGTATTCATCTGAAAGTGAACATGCTCCTAGCTCAAGTGATTCTATGATCTCATGGTTTCAAGATAGACTTTTAAGCTACTCACACCCTGTTTTAAATCAGCCAGATAACACAGCTTTTCAAAAGCAGTTGGATCAACAAAGGGAAATTCTGGATTATAGCCAAAAAGCCCAAAAAGAATTGCTCATACAGAGAAGAACAGCCCTGCAGCAGCACATCCAGAAACATCACGAAACATTGAAGGATTTCATTAAAGACAGCCAGGTAAAATTTAACCTAGGATACATACGGGTTAAACGATGGAAGTAACACTAATGTGTGTTAGTTACTGAGAATTAGTAGTTTGACTTTAAATGTAATTTTCTTTCACTAACAATTTGTTGTACTGGTCATAATGACACCAACTTCATCACAGCTACTTGGAAGGGTGAGGTAGAAGATACCACAAGGTCAGCTTGAGCAACTTAATGAAACCCTGTGTCAACAAAGCTGGCCTGGTGTGGTGGCATAGGCCTGTAATCCCAGCACATGGAAAGCAAGAGAATCATCAGAAGATTGAGGCCAATCTAGGTTACATAGTTTAAGGCCAGTCTAAAGTACATAGAAAGACCCTGTCCCAAAAAACAAACAAGGCTGGGAACCATACAACTCATGGTATAGTATCCATGGGTGCAATCCCCACCAGTGTTATGGTTTTTTTTTAATTGCCTTACCTGACATGTTGACTATAACATTGATATGTTTGAAGCTCAACTAATTTTAAGTTTACCAAAAAAAAAAAAAAAAATCTTTATTTGAAGTTTTCTTACAATAAACTTTATTATACAGTAAAATTGTAAAACCTAGTCGGCCTGGTGTGGTGGTAGACCTCTATAATCCCAGTATTTGGGAGGCTGAAGTGGGAAATCATGAGTTGGAGACCAGCCTGGACTACATAGTAAAACTGTCTCAAATACAAAAAATAACTGCTTCAGCAGAATTTTTCTAATATAGTAGCATATCTTGTGCTCTTTATTGACATATATACATGAATCAGGATAGTACTCTTTTCCCTTAAGTGACATATTATTGTCTCCTGTTGTAAAGCTGGCATGATTTCTGATAAAGAGCTGGACTTCAGTTTGCATCTGAATTGTTGCAAATACTGATACTCACATTCTCAGTTTCTTCACACGTGAAACAAAAGTGTCCTAAATATGAATGGATTCATTTTATTATAAAAGGTCGCTAAAATGTATTAGTGTAAACAATTCTGCAAATCCTTGGTGTTCAAAAAAAGTTTGAATTGAGTCCAAAGTCAAGTCCTACAGATTTTTCTAGTCATTTGAAGTAAAAGTAACAGAAAAGAAAACAGTGATTTCTTATTGAGAGGCAGAGTGAAGGCTGAGTTTTTAGGTATAGGTTGTACTTTTTCGTGGAGATATCCTTTCAATATTGGAAGCATATGATTTTTTAATTATAATGTGGGTGATGAAACTTTATTTGATTACAGTTGTAATTTAAGAAGGGAAATATATACAATCCCCAATTTGTGTCATCCTCACCCTTAGCTGTCTACCTTTTAAACAAACATGCTTACAGTTCAGAATAATTTTTTTAAAATGCAGAAGGTGGAACAACTGAGAGAGTGGCTTCCTCTTGTGGAAGACCTAGCAGGAGGCCATCGGGAAAGCTCTAGTCACGCAGATAGGAGCAATGCTGATGATAATCAGCTGCTGGCAGAAGATGTCAGGTCCACCAAACAAAGTGGTAAGATGATTGCATTTTATTGCAATTATTCAGCTGATTCTTTTCTTACTTTCATCTCCTGTAGCTTGCTGGTCAAAGAGTGTTCAGTTTCATTGTAATTTTCATTCAATTTCACTGTTGTCCTTGACTGGATAGGTGAGCCTGTGCTCAAAGAACCAGATAAAAGAGCCTCGAAGCCACCTGTGACAAAAGTTAAATGTGGATTGGATTTAAATCAACATGAACTTAGTGCTATACAAGAAGTAGAATCACCAAAAAGTGGCAGAACTTCTGTGCCAGGTAAACAATTTGATAAAAGGTACATTAGTAGTTTACCCATTTTCTGCATATTTTCAGGATGCTGAAATTTGTTAGACTTAGTCTTTGAGTACTTGTGAAAGGAAAATATTGGCTTGTATAACACTATTTAAAATTGGGGCTGCTGGGTTGGGGGCGCATGCCTGTAATCCCAGTACTGAGGCAACAGGATCACTGCAAGATTAAGGTTAGCCTGAGCTACATAGTGAGTTCAAGGCCACCGTGGACTACATAGCAAGACCCTATCTCAAGAAAACAAAACAAAACAAAAGTGTTATTATTTTCTTGCTACAGGTACATCAGGCCTTTAATGGTTTAGCTTTTTACTTGTAAATTGCCGCTTAATTTTAGCCAGATCTAGAAACTTAAGGAGAAATCTTATTTTTCTCCCAAATACATTTTATTTCAAAGATAAAAAGAAAAAAAAAGTAGGGGAAAAAATACAACAAAACGTGTCAATCAAGAGGCAACAGTGATATGTAAATTGTACATTGTCATCCCCAAATCATCCATCAGAGCATAAGACATCTGCATTCAACTGTCGGAACAATATTAGCACAATCTCTTCAGTGAACTTGAGAAATCAGTAGTATAACTATCTTAACTATTTTTATATACATACACATACACGTTTTTTCTTTCAGCATCTCACACTAATGAAACAATATTACGTCAACACGTGTCTTTATTTCATTAATGAGTGTTTTCAAGTTGCATCCATTTACCTATAAAAGTCTTTAGTTTATCCTTCTTTGTGACTCAGTAGTACTCCATTGTATAAAAATATCACATCTTTTTTTATCTACTTCTCAGTCAGTGGGGATTTAGGTTGTTTCCAAGATTTGGCTATTATAAATTGTGTTGCTATAAACATGGGTGCACATATGTCACTGTGGTATGATGATGGTTCTAATTCTTTTGGAAAGCTACCCAAAAAGGGAGTAACTGGATTGAATGGAATCTTTAGTCCTATTTTTTTGAGGAATCTTCACACTGATTCCACAGTGGTTACACCAGTCTGCATTCCCACCAACACTGGAGGATTCCTTTTTCCCCATAGCCCCTCCAACATTTGTTATTGCTTGATTTCTTGATAATAGCCATTCTTTCTTGAGTGAGGTGGACTCTCAGTGTTATTAATTTGCATCTCTCAAATGACCAGTGATATTGAACATTTATTTGTTGTTTATATTCATCTAAGAAGTGTTTATTCATCTCAGATGCCCATTTTTAGATTGAGTCTTTAAATCTGGCTGGACTGATTATTTTTGAGTACTTATGTTCTCGATACTAATTCTTTGTCTGAGGAACAGCTTGCAGACATTTTCTTCCAAGTTGTGAGTGGTCTCTGCACTCTGTTGGTGGTCTCTATTGCTATGTAAAAGCTTCTTAAGATGAGATCCCATTTGTTGAATTTTTGTGATAGTTCCTGTGCAATGAGAGTTTTGTTCTTCAAGTCTTTGCTTACACCAGTGTCTTCAAGAGTTTTACCTACTGTATTTTCCAGCAGATTTAATGTTTCTGTTTTAAGGTTAAGATCTTTGATCCATTCTGATTTTAGCTTAGTGCATGGTGAAAGACATGGGTCCAGTTTGAATCTTTGACATGTGTAGAGGCAGGTTTTCCAGCATCATTTATTAGAGGCTATCTTTCTTCCAGTGACTGTTTGACATTTTGGTCAAAAATAAGATGGCTTAGTGTGTCTGGAGTTGTTTCTGCATCTTACCTGTTCCATTGATCTTAGGCTCTTTTTTTTTTTTTTTTTTTTGGTGCCAGTACCACACTGCACACTGTCTTTTATCATAGTGGTTTTATAATATAATTTTAAGGCAGGGATTGTGATGCCCTCTGTCTTGTCTTTGTTGCCCAGGAATGCCTTTCTTGTTCTTGGTCTCATCTGATCCCAGATGAACTTTAGGATTATTGGTTTCTCTAATTATGTGAGATATGCTGTTAGAATTTTGATTAGAATTACATTGAATCTGTAAAACAGTTTTGGAAATATGGCCATTTTCATTATATTGGTTCTTCCTACCCAAAAGCATGAAATATCTCTCCATTTTCTAATATCCTCTTTGATTTACTTTTTAAGAATACTATAGTTTTCAATGTAGAGATCTTTTCCATCTTTTGTTAGATTGATTCCTAGATATTACCTTTTTTTTAATGCTATTGTAAAAGATATTGTTACCCTGATTTCTCTCTCAGTGAGTTTGTGATTCTGTACAGGAATGCTATTGATTTTTTTTTTTTTTTGTCTTTTTCCTTTTTTATTGGTATCGGGGATCGAACTCACGACTCCCTGCTTGCAAGGCAGGCGCTTATGCCACTGAGCTAAATCCCCAGCCCCTAGGAATGCTATTGATTTTTTTGAGTCTTGACTTTGCAACCAGCTACATTACTGAATTTGCTTATTAAATCTAGTCTTTTAGTAGAGTTTTGGGGTCCTCAAGTGAAGTATCACGTTATCTGCAAATAACGATAGGTTAACTTCTTCCTCTCGTAGCCTTATTCCTCTTATTTCTCTTGTTTAACTGCTACAGCTAAGGTTTCCAAGACTGTGTTGAATAAAAGTGGAGGCAATGAACATCTTGCCTTGCTCCTAATTTTAAAGTGAAAGTTTTCAGTTTTTGTCCATTTAGTATAATGTTCATTGTTGGTTTGTCATAGATGGCTTTTATCAGATTGAGATAAAGACCATCTATTCCAATTTTTTGTAGGGCTTTTATTATGAATGGGTACTGGGCTTTGTCAAAAGCTTTTTCTGCATCTATTGAGATAATCATATGATTTTTCTCCTTGACTCTGTTAATATGGTATATTATATTTAGGGATTTATGTATGTTGAACCATCCCTGCATCCTTGAGATGAATCCCTCTTGATCGTAGTGTATAGTGTTCTTGATGATATGCTATAGCCTGTTTGCCAGTGTTTTATTGAGGATTTTTGCATTAGTGTTCATAAGGGACATTGGCCTATAATTTTCGTTCTTAATTGGATCCTTTTCTGGTTTTGTTGTCAAGGTAATGCTTACTTCCATGAATGAATTTGAAAGTATTGCTTCCCTTTCCATTTCATTAAAGAGTTTGAGAAGTAGTGGTGTTAGGTCTAAATTTCTTGTAGAATTCAGCAATGAATCTGGTAGGGCCTTGGCTTTTCTTTGTTGATAGGTTTTTAATTACATCTTTGATTTCATTGATATTGGGCTATTTAGTATTTTTATATCTTCTTGATTCAGTAATTCATATGTATCTAGGAATCTGTCCATTTCTTCTGTATATTCCATCTTGCTAGAATACAAGATTTCAATGTATGTATAGATAATTTTTTAGATTTTTGCAGGCTCTGTTGTGATTTTGCCTTTTTCATTCCTAATTGCCTGGAATCTTTTCTTTCCTTTTTTTGATAAGGTTGGCTAAGGGCTTGTCAATTTCATTTAAGAACCAACTCTTTAATTCATTGATTCTTTGTGTTTATTGTTTGTTTGATTTTGTCTCTAGGGTGTTAATTTCTACCCTGATCTTTAATTTCCTCCCTTGTATGAGATTTTGGGTTAGCCTGTTCTTCCTTTTCTAGAAGCTCAAGGTTCAACATTAAGTTATTTATATGTGCTTACACTATTTTCCTAATATGGGTATTTATTGTATAAATATCTCTCTTAAGACTGCTTTCATTATGTCCCACAAGTGCTGGTATATTGTATTGTCATTATCATTCAACTGTAAAAACTGTCTAATTTCATCTGTGACCCATTGGTTGCTCAGCAGAGTGCTATTTAATTTCCATGTGTTTATGAAGTTCTTGTGGTTTCCTTTGCTATTGATTTCCAGTTTCATTGCACTTTGGTCTGATAGTATGCATGGGATAATTTCAGTTCCTTTACATTTACTTAAGCATGTTCTATGAGCTAGTATATGGTCTGTTTTGGAGACTGTCCCATATGCAGCTGAGAAGAATGTGTATTGTGATGTTGTGGGGTGGAACACTATAGATATCTACCAGGACTATTTGTTCAAAATAATTTAATGATTTAATTATAATATTTCATTATTTTTCTAAATTCTAATATTTTATGATTTTTTTGTGCAATTGATCTGTCTTTTTGTGATATGGGGTATTGAGGTCTCCCAATATTATTGTTTTGATTTATTTGATTTTTTTTTTTTTTTGACGGTAGTAAAATACAACAGAACAAGACAGAACAAAGCCAATTGAGACAGTGTAGTGAAATTGGTACAGAACTTCACAGCGGGTTATGGGGATAACAGCAATAGGTTTCACAGTATATCTCGTTATCATCACAATAGTTGTTCTTTGAATCATGTATAGCAAAATAAAATGAAATACAGAACATTATAGAACTTATCAAACACAATATTGAGTAGAACAGTACCATTAATCAGAATAAAGCAAAACAGTAGTAAAAATATTTGCCTTCAAAAAGATGGTAGAAGGAAATCCCCCTTATTTGCTATATTGCATATGGTCAACCTCCCAAGAGATGCTCAGATCTCTGGTTCCCATTTGCTAAAGGGGGCAGGGGAAGTGGGATGTTTGACTCCACACAGGTAGGCTCACTATTGCTTAACAGGGAGGCAGGCTGATTGCTTGGTATCCCAGCGTCCTAAGTTCCAACATGGTGCAGATCTCAGGAGGCACTGGTGAGCCTGCCACACCACAGCTGCTTACCAGGGAAGTAAGCTGCTTGCTTGGTTTCCCAGTGTCCTAAGTTCTCACATGCGCAGATCTCAGGAGACGCTGGTGGTTCTCCTGGGGCGGCTGCAGCCTGCCACACCATAGCCGCTTACCAAAGAGGCAAGCTGCTTGCTTGGTTTCCCAGCATCCAAAGTTCCAACATGGCACTGATCTCAGGAGATGCTGGTGGTTCTCCCCCTGGGGCTGCTGCAGAAGGGCTTATTTGATTTTTGATGTCTGTTAGTAATTGTTTTATATAATTTGATGCACTGATATTTGTTGTATATATATTTATGATTGTTACATCTTTGTATTGGATTGTTCCCTTTTAGAATAATGTAGTAACTTTATTTCTCTAATCAGTCTTGGCTTGAAATTCACTTTGTCTACAATAAGAATGGCTACCCCTACTTTTTTCTGGGTTTCTGTTGCAAGGATTATTGTTTTCCACCCTTTGACTTCAAGGGAAATTCATTTATAATGAAATGTGTTTCTTTTTTTTTTTTTTTTTTTTTTTGTCTTATTTTGTCTTTTTGAGACAGGGTCTCACTACACGTTTCAGGCTGGGCTTTGGTTCACTTTGTAACCAGGTGGGTCTCCAACTTGCAAATGATTCTCCTACCTCAGCCTCCCAAGTGCTGGAATTACCGGTGTGTGCCATCACACCTGACTTAAATGTGTTTCTTATATTCAGCATATTGTTAGATCTTTATCCATTCTTCCAGTGTGTGTCTTTGTCTGGTGAATTGAGACTATTAACATTGATGGTTATTCCTGATATGTATTGACTTATCCTTGTCATGTTATTTTCCTGTTATTGGTTCTCCCTTTTTTGCCCCCTCCTCCTAATTGTTTGCCTTCGCTGGTGGATTGCTTCTGTTTGTGTTCATGGAGCTATAGTCCTTGTTATCTTACCTTATTTCTAGAATGTCCTTCAGAACATTTTGGAGTGCTGGTTTGGTGGTCATAATTTCCTCATGTTCTTTGTCATGGAAGTATCTTATTTCTCCATCAATTTTGAAAAATAGTTTTGTGAAGTGTATCAATCTAGGTTGAAAGTTGTTTTCCTTTAAAACTTGGAATACTTTTTTCCAAGTTCTCCTTGATTTGAGAGTTTGTGCTGAGAAGTCAGCTATGATTCTTAGGAGCTTTCCTTTATAAGTGATTTGTTTCTTTTGCCTAACAGCTTTTAAGACTATTCTTGTGTTGAATTTCTGGAACCTTGACTATGATATGCCTGTCTGTAAATTTTTTTTGATCATTGCTAATTGGAGTCTTATATGCCTGGTTTATCTGAATGTCAAATTGTTTTTTTCTACCAGGAAAGTTTCTGTCAAGTTCTATGTCTGTGGATTTTTTTTAGTGTCATTTGTGGTATCTCCTGCTTGTTCATTGACTCCAATTAATCTTAAGTTTTCCTTCTTTGTCTCATCTAGCCGCTGCCGGATTGATTTCTCATGGTTCTTTACTATTTTTGAGAAATTTTTCTTTTCCTAGTCACTAACTGCAAGCCGTCTTCAATATCTGAAATTCTGTCCTCCCATTGGCCTAATCTGCTTTGAATACTTTCAATGGAGTTTTTTTTTTTTTTTTTTTTGTCTTTTTCATTTTTACCGGTACCAGGGATCGAACTCACCACCACCTGCTTACAAGGCAGGTGCTTATGCTGCTGAGCTAAATCCCTTAATCTTCTGGATATCTACTTGAAGAATTCCATTTTTTTTCCTGTGCTGAGTTTCCATAATGTGCTTAAGCTCATCTTGTTTGTTTGTTTTTTGCTTTTTTTGTCTGTGTCTGCTCTAGCATTGCTAAGCATGGTGTGTGTATTTTGGTAATCTCTGTAGTTATCTGAGAGATTACTTCTGATTTCATTTTTTCCAGAGCCTTATTCAATTTTTTTTGTTTCTTTGTTTCCACTTCAGAGAGACCTGGTGGGGGCTTTTGGATTGTCTGACCTCATTGTCCCCTGGGTTTGCCTTTGGTGTACAGGATGTCTGAGGTTTCATTTTGCTTAAGTGTCTTCTCATTTTCTCTCTTTTGAGCTTCATTCCTGGGGTGATGCTTGTAAGTTGCCTAGGGTGTGTTGCTTTATTGATGATATTTAGAAACCTTAGGGGGAGATATCTTCCAGGTGCAGCTGACTTTTGGGTTTTGAATCTGTTGGAAGACCTTACCTCTTCAGTTCGTTGGAGATGAAAAGTTGTTGCTTGATTGACTTAGTCCTTGGTTCTTTGGCACTGGCACTGTGCCACTGTGTTTTCCATGACCCTTAGTTAATCTCAGTCATGAATTATCAGCACCAGGCAGTGCAGTCCTCCACTGCCATGTCTCTGTGCAGAGACCTTTGGTGTTGCCAGTTCTCACTGTCAAAGTGACCATTCATCCCCAGGTTCAAACAGCTCCTCTTGTTCAGTTCTCCAGTCTCAGGGTGAAGGTGCTGCCAGCTACTGCCTTTTTTAAGCTTTTTCTTTTACTCTCTGTGTTGACTTCAGATTCTTCCTGGATCCAGGGGACTCAACTCCCTTCCTTCTTGCCTTCCTCACGATGTTATATTCCAGTGTCTGAACTGTGAATCTCAGAGAGGCTTGTTCTCTGCTGCTTACCACTCCACTTTTAAGTAGAAATCTAATGAGTCAGTTTATTTTCTTTCTTTTCAGGTAAATCAGAGTTTTGTCAAGAGAGAGACCCCTTGAGAGTCTCGGTAAGCCGAGAACAGAGTTTCCTTGGGAGCCCACAGCCCAGTGATCCATTTGATGATCTTCAACCAGCTACTCAGGATCAAGTCTGTGGTGATGACTACGATGATGAAGCAGGTGAGACAATAGAATCATGTGCCTGAGGATGTGCGGACCCAAGTATATTCATTTTGTAAGATTATACTACTGGCAAATAAGCTCATTAAGTATTGCTAATCAAATCACACATATTCTGTTGCTGTATGCTGTTATTAAAAAGTAACAGGGGCAAGACTGTGCATCACAGCACATTCCTGTAATCTGTGCATCTGAAAGGCTGAGGCTGAAGGATTATAAGTTCAAGGCCAGCCTGGATAACTTAGTCCCTGTATCCAAAAAAAAAAAGTGGCTGGGGATATAGCGTAGCATTCCCTTCATTCAGTCCTAAATGCTACAAATAAAATAAAATTGTTAAAATTAAAATAAGGCAAGAACTGCAGGTATAGCTCAGTGGTGAAGTGTGTACTTAGATGTCAATTAAAAAAATTAGTATGCTTTTTAAAAAAAAAGCAAAGGTGATGTGGGAAAAAAAGTCTTGTTTGTCTTTTCATTGTTGGATTATTTGATCACTTTTTAATGCTTAAATCTTGTAATCTGAACAACTATTTTCAAGATAATAACACAATTTATTAGCTAGTATGAATTTCTTTTTTTAAAATTCTGTATCAAATTTATCCTTTTCCCCCTTGTTTTTTTAAATTAAAAATCTTTGTTTAGGCAATAGTTTAGAAAATTATCTAGAATGATAATCATCAAAATGTTGATACAGCTTTACTTTTATTGAAGAATAGGTTTCACATTCTATATGTTCAAGTATTGTAACTCTTTTTAAAAACTAGGCACATTGACAAGATGGTGGCATGATAGGTAGCTGGGTAGAGAGCCTCTCTGGGAAAAACGCTGGAATTTGAAAACATGGAGAGGGCCAGACAAGGAGAGAAGGATTCTTGTGACCCAGGAGGAAACTGAGGAAAATGAAAAAGGGGAAGAGGAAGGAAAAATACAGGTGGAGGGCTGGAGCCGGACAGCTTACTAAGACCGGTCCCACGGGCTGGGGATTCAGCTCAGTGGCATAAGCGCCTGCCTTGCAAGCAGGCAGACCTGAGTTCGATCCCTGGTACTGATAAAAAATGAAAAAAACCAAAAAAAAAAAGAAAAAAAAGACCGGTCCCACACTGTGCTGGGCGTGCTGTGGAGTCACAGGATCCACGGTCCTGCTGAAGCTGCAGCCGCCAATAACGGCAGTTGATAAGTCCCGGGACCCTTTGCAGTAGGATGAGGCACAGTGTGGAGTAGAGCAAAGGTGGAGAACAGCATTAATTCACGATGAGTGCTGGAAATTGTGTCTCGCAGTGGGTGTGACCAGCTGAAAGACATATGGGAGTAGGGCAGGATAGTCCTAAGTCCGCTGCCACAAGACCCAAAGGACTGGTGGGACCTGTTTGGGCTGAGTCACGCCTCTGGTCAGGACCCAATAGTCACGGACGAACTTGTCCTGAACCGGTTACTTCTGCAAAGCATAGACTAACATGCTGAAGGCAATTGCCGGTTGACTGGCACAGAGAAGAGTAGCCAGCCAACAGTCCTTGCACGCACCTCCAATAACAGTAAACTGGCAGGAAACCCCCAGCCAGCATGCTTTAGAAAAACCGTAAGCAATAGAGAGGACCTGAGACCTCCACCATACACTTGTCTGAAAAAAACCAGAAACATGACAAAAGAAAAAAAATTAAAAACCTCCAACTGCTGACCCTGGGAAAATAAGTCCAGGAGAGGTAAATATAGAAGAGATCCAGTATAGCAATCATGCAATATTGGACACAGCATAAATATCTTTGTGACCTGATAGATGAACTTAAAACTGAAATTCTAATCCAAGTGAGGCAAGATATAAAAAGATTAATAGAAGAAATGCTAAGCCCATCTCAAGGAAACACAGATGGAAGAATGGAGAAACCCAGAAAAGGAAGAGACACCTTTGGTGAAGAATATATACAAAATCTAGAATACACAAAACAGATTCAAAGGGATTACCAGGAAATTAAAAACTCCATTGAAAGCTGGCAAAATGTCTTGACAGAAAATAAAGTTAGCCTTTCAAAACTTGAAGATAGATTTGCAATGTGTGATCATGAAAGAAAAGACCTCTTAAAAATAAGGAATCAGGAAGTAACAATTCAAAGGCTAGAAGATGACAAGAGTATGTGTAATTTAAGAATAAAAAACATGAGTGAAAAAGCAGGAGTAACCACAAATGAATTACAAAGGCTATTCACAGAAATAATTAAGGAAAACTTCCCAAGCATAGGAAAAAGAAATGATACCCAGATAAATGAGGCATACAGAACTCCAACCAGCTACAACCAAAACAGATCTACACCAAGACACATGATAATCAAGGTCCCAGAAATTCACCACAAGAACAGAATATTAAAAGTGGCCAGAGAAAAGAAGCAGATCACCTATGAAGGAAAATCCATCAAATAATGACAGACTTCTCAACACAAACTATCAAATCAAGAAGAGCCTGGAGTGAAGTAGTCTAAACCCTGAAAGAAAATAACCTCCATCCCAGATTGATATACCCTGAAAAACTGTCTCTCAAAATGAATGGAGAAACAAGATGTTTCCAAGACAAGGAGGAACTGTGGGAGTTCATGGCCACCAATCCAACCCTACAAAAAATACTGAAGGACATTCTAGAGAGAGATAGAAAAAAATACCAGGATTCCAGCAACAGTGGCAGAGAGGCCTCAATGAACGGGGCAGACAGTGGACTGAAGGAGAAAAGTCGACAAACAGCAGAAAAGTAGAATAGCAGAGATGAGGCAGAGAAGGTGGGCTATAATCTTTAATATAGATAGCCCTTGTTATACTAAAAAAAAGAAACACAGGCAGAGTAGATCAGGAGACAGGATTCATCGAGATGCTCTGAATAGGAAATATACTCAACCTGAAAGAGGGTTAATAAACTGAAAGTCAAAGATGAGAAAACAATGCTCTATGTTCTCGGGAGCCAGAGAGAAATAGGGACAACTTATCTAGCAGCTGCAGATAGGTTGGAAAGTCATGACACTTTTGTGCAGGGGAGAAATACTTACCTATAAGGAAGGAACACCTTGTGGAACACCTTGTGACTTTAGTAAGTAAAAGAATACAGCTCAAGATCAGCTAAGGGATAAAAAGGTTCAACACCACTTAGATAGACAACGGATTGCCCCCCAATCTAAAAACTAAAGGCGTTAGTTGGACCCAAAACCTACAAAGCAACCTAAGTAAGGGAAAGGGGATGAATTGCCTAAGAAAGAAAGGCAGAGAACATTGTTAATAGTGTATCAGGATTTAAAAACCACATTAGTCTTATCGCTTTGTGATTTTATTTTCTTCCGGTCTGTCTACTCGTACTAGATTTGAGGGCACAGACAGCTATCCCCAAAATAGCAGAATCTACTATGGTAAATATCCTTAATTCCCTATTAACTTAAACTGAAGCCCTGTATTACTTACATTGTCTTACTATGACTGATGTTATTTGAAGCTGATTAGTTAAGCCACTGTTTTGTCTTGACTGATTTTATTAGAGTTTGGTATGCTTGATAGTATCAAGTGTAAGAGTGGAGGTAACTACTCTGAAGATGATGACAAGATGTAGTAAGATACCCATTCCGGTTTGATTATTAACTGCTACAATGTCTAGAATGTCTCCAATGTTGTGTTTTCATTAAAATTGCTATGTAATGCTATGTTCAATTATATTATGTCTGATGATGTAGACAGTTTGTTGAAAATAACAAGAGAAAGCATAGTAACTACTGTAGAATACCTAGTATTGTGGTTTTATATGTCTTTTTCATGTCATGTTTTTCTAGGAATTTGTTTTGTAGTCTTGTTTTGATCTCTTTTTCCCTATAATACAGAAAGGATAGGTATACATGTAGAGATACACACATGCGGAGAATTTCTAAACAGTTTACGGGAACAGATTATATATGTGTGATGTAATGAACGCATATTCTGAAGAAGAGACACTAAGATATCCAGTGCTAATTCTGAAGAAGAGACACTAAGATATCCAGATGCATAATTGCATTATGATATAAAATCTAGCAATACTATTATTCACTTTTCAGAGTGATATTAGTCTCGTCTTTTATGTTTAATTTCAGCATACATAAACATATGGACAGCTACTTCGAAGACAATGAGAGACATTATGGCAGCCATTGTTGACTTCCCTAATGTCAGGTCTTGAAAACCTAAAAAAAGCCTTCATCACCCTGTTCTGATTAGATTAGTGCTATAATGTTCAGTATGTATTCACTATGTGAAGACAGGACAAATGTTTGGAAGACTAGAGACTATATGATAGTGAAGATCTCCATTGGACTTGCTTTGAAATCCGTGTTTCTTAAAATTGTTTCCTTATGATCTGTTTTGTTATGTTTAATCTTGCCCTCTTTAAAATAAAAAAAAAACTAGGCATATATTATTTCTGTATAGAAAAAGTTGAATGAATGAGGAAAGTGAAGTTTATAAAAAAAATAAGTGAATTTTGTTCCTAAATTCTTTAAGTACTAATAGGAAGTATGAGGGTCCAGTTTTGTACAGTTGGCACTCTAAAAATTAAACAGTACTAAGAAATATCTTAAGAATTATTTGATGTCTTAAATCATGATTAGAGTGGCGTTCTGTGAGATTGTTGATGTTTGATGGGAGAATGCCTGTGCCTACCTGATAGTCCAAGCACAGCTCCTGACTGCCAAGGAGCTGCTTTTCTCTTTCGCATAGCCATCCTAGATTTAGATTTCTCTTTTGAAATGACATTAGTTTTTTTACTTATTTCCTCCCTGTCACTGCCTCAACACTTTGATTTCTTAACAGCTTTTAAATTGAATACTAACTACAAACTCGATACCCTTTGCTTTTGTTAAAAGGCCCAGTATGGTGAATTGTGCATATCATAGGAAGATAACTGTTTAAGGTGTTGCTTTCACTCTTTTTAGGGATGCATTCATGGATCTCTGCTGTCGATTTATTATATCTCAACTAATGATATTTCTCTTCCATCTTTCATTGAATTTTTCAGCATCTCAAATAATTCTGACCTTGCTTCTTTCTCTTACTTTTATTTTTCATTTCTGACCACCACACAGATGCTGCCTTGTTCACTCATCTTTCCTCTGGGATGGTCTTGAAGGTATATTAGGTAACACTGAATAATAGTGATAAATTGAACTGAGAAACCCCAGATTACTTCTTGTCTCCCAGCTTGCTTTTGAAACGAACTACTTAAGACATAAGCAAAAACTTCACAATACCATCCCCCATTTTCTTTAAAATTCAGCATGTAGAGAAGCAACCAACTGACATTAAATCATTTAGTTACAATCATACATTTTCTAATGAACCAGAATAACATAGGTGAGATGGGAGGGTTGCAAGGTTAATGCCAGTCTGGGCAACTGAGCTGAAATCCCGTGTGAAAATAAAATGAGAAAGGGACAGAGATGTACTAAATAATAGAGTACTTGCCCGGCATGCCCAAAGCACTGGCCTTTGCTGCTACTTTTGCTTTAATGAAGCATGATACAAATGTTGTTTATGTCTCTATATACACACATACACTAACAGACATGTAGGTATTTGTGTACACATGTATTTGTGAAATGCCATTTTTAAAGTATTTCTTACACAGACATTTAAGAAACATACTGTTGGGCCAGGGATATAGCTCAACGGCACAGTACCTGCCTTGGTAGTGCAAGGTCATGAGTTCAGTTTCAAGTGCAAATAAATAAAATTCAGATTTATTTACTTTCTTTTTTGGGGGGTGGGAACCGAGGATCAGACACTTACGCCACTGAGCCAAATCCCTGGCAAATTAAAATTCTCTTTAGAAAAAAAGAAACATACTATTAATATATACTGCTTTCTTTTAATAAAATGATAATCACGAGTCTGAAATTTTGTTTATAGTCACTGGAGCAATTTTATTATCCTGTTTCAGAACCACAGATGACTGTATGCCTCAGCCAGCTTTCCTATAAACTCAGAATACCTGAATATTATTAATAGGACAGGCTGAGTGTGGCATCGCACACCTTTAATCTCAGAACTTGGGGTGGCTGGACCTGGAAGATCAAAAGTCAAGCCTAGCCTGTGCAACTTGGCAAGGCTTTCAGAAACTGGGCTTGGGACAGTGAATGGCTTAAGATCAGTCTCTAATATAATCTCCAGTATCTTGGGGATGGAGGGTTAAGAAAAACTGTTGCAGCTGGGCATGGTGACACAAGCCTGTAATTCCAGTACATAAGAGCCTGAGACAGGAAGATCACCACAAGACCAGCCTGAACCTCATGTAAATCCAAGACCAGCTTGAGCTACACTGTGAGACCTGGTCTCAAAAAAGCAAAGCAAAACAAAACTTGGTTGCACAAGACATAGTACCAAGAATCTACAGATGGAATAATATCAAATTAAAGAGCTTCTGCAAACCAAAAAAAAAAAAAAAACCAACATAGTGAAAAGACAACTTGCAGAATGGGAAAAAAATTTTGCCAATTATTCATCAGAGTACTAATATCTAGAATACATAGAAAACAAAATTAGATGTCCCCCAAAATAAAGACCCAGTAAAAAATGGGTAAGCAAAATGACCACATGTTTCACAGAAGAAATATAAATGACCAATAAATACATGAAATGTTCAACATCCCTGATCATTAGAGAAATGCAAATTAAACAACACTGAGATTCCATTTTACCCTAGAAAGAATGGCAGTCATCAAGAATCAAATCAAAGCTAACAAGGCTGTGAGAAGGGGTAGCTTCTGCTGGTGGGAATGTGAACTAGTACAACAACTATATGAATCAGTTGTAGAGATTCTTCAAAAAACTAAAAGAAATTCTGTTAGAGCAGCTGTTCCCCTTCTAGGTATCTTCAAAGAGTAAAGATACTGTATTACAGTGGTACATGCATATGCATATTTATGGCAGCACAATTCATAATAGCTAAATCTTAGAAGCAGCCTATATGTCCATCAACAGATGAGTAAAGAAGATGTATTTATTCACAGTGGACTATTACTCTGCTATGAAGAAAGAAAACTTGAGTCATTTGTAGGAAAGTAGATTCATAGAAAAATGGATGTACCATAATGTTGCGTGAAATAAATCAGACAAACAAGCTTAAATATCACATGATTTGTTTAACATGAGAAACCCAAATTATAGACAATAAAATAGAAGATAAATAATAGGAAATAAGGTGATAGATGTTTCCCAAAATGGGAAGGAGATCAAAAGGCGAAGTAGGAAGCATTGAGAAAAGGGATTAAAAGAAGGAATCAAGATGTGTCATGTACATGTACCAATCTCACACAAGAATAAAATATTACACTCCACAAACATATACTGTGCTAATAAAAACATAGTGAAATAGGAAATGTAATTCATACATAATTTTATCTATGTTCTATGTCAAAATAATTAGAAATAATAAAGTATTAATCAAAATATCCTTAAAGAAAGCACTTAAAGGTATAAAGAAGCAAAAATTGGGCTGGATGTATGGCTTAGTGGTAGAGTCCTTAGCATAACAAGGCCCTGGGTTCAAGTCTCAACACCAAAAGTTTAAAAATTGAGTCAGAGTTTGGTGGCTCAGGTGTACAGGCCCAGCAATGACAAACAATGACACAGGATTGCTTGTGCCCAGGAATTTGAATACCATCATAGCCAAGAGAGAGATCTCCTCTTGAAAAAAAAAGTAAGTGGCCGAGGGTTTAGCTTAGCAGCATAAGTGCCTGATTGGCAAGCGGGAGATCATGAGTTCAATCCTTGGTACTAAAAAAAAAAAAAAGAAAGAAAACTAATTTGCTTCTTGTCCTATTACTCATTAGCAGTCACTGTACTTTGCTTTTTTTTTGCTTGTCTTTTTTGCTTATCTTTTTTTAATATGCATTTTATCCTCTTACAAATCATACTGTGTTCATAATCAAATATTCTTCCTTTTCCACATAAAAGGACAAAACATTTCCCATAATGTTCAAATATTTTAAAGGATCTTATTCATGTGATAACAGTGACAGCTACAGTTTAAAAAAAGAAAAAAGTAGTGTGTGTTTCCTAGTTTTTAAATGAAAAAGAAAGTGATTTTTTTCTTTTGGTCTAAGATAAAACAACTTTAAGAACCAAAAAAGAAAAGAGGGATTGTTCGCCTTGAAGTGTTAATAATTTAATTTGTCCAAATCTAAAATATTTTTCCTTTTTGAATTCCAAATTCATTGTTTAGTCAAGGTGAAGGAATCTGATGCTGAGAATCATGCCGTGTTAAGTTATGCTGCAGAGGAGGCAGATCACATGTGTCGGGGACAGGCTGTGAGACCAGATGATAAGGTTTGTGATACCTTCTCACTCACTTTTTTTATTTTTTATTTTTTTGAGATAGGGTCTTGCTGTGTGGTTCAGGCTGGCGTTGGGTTCACTGTGTGCCTCAGGCTGGCCTTGAACTCATGGTGATTCTCCTGCTTCAGCCTCCCAAGTCCTGGGATTATAGATGTGCATAGTATAGTATTCTAAAAGTGATGCCAACCATCATACACTGTTTAGAGTTATGTAGTTTCATATTCTTTTTAGTTTACTGAAAAACTATGTTCTCTGAGATCTGCTCTTATCAAAGTGGATCAATGATGAAAATAGCCAAATCTGAGCATCAGAAGACTTTGCGGTCTCCCTGATTCATGATCTCTATAGTTCTGGGAAGCAGATTTGTAAAATAATTTAAAATAGGGCTATGTTGTGTGTGTGTGTGTGTGCGTGTGTGTGTGTGCGCGCGTGTGTGTCCCTGCGTGTGTTCACATGTGCATTTATAAAGGTAACTGAGTAACAGGACATTCTGATAGGTGAATGAGATTTGAAGGTGTGTGTGTGTGTGTGTGTGTGTGTGTGTGTGTGTGTGTGTGTGTCTAAACATTTCTGAGCAATGATGAAAAGTTTTTACTACTGACCTTTATAACTATGAAGGTTTCTACACTTGACCTGAGCTCAGAATTGACAGCTGCTAAAGTTGATGATTTTGAATTTTCTGTATATTGTACTTCTTGACACATCACGATCTAATATTTTCCTTTAATTTTTAGGCTGGAACACAAGATGTTTCTCATGAGCCATTAGCTTCAATAACTGTTTCTACTGGCAGTTTTTTAAGTTATGAAAACACAGATTTGAGCCTTACAGATCCAGGTAATAATATCAAAATGTAAAGAGAATGAAAGTACATCATTCACGGTGGTGAGAGAAAGCATTGTTTTTTCACAATGCACCAGAGAAGGGGAGAGTTTAAATCTCAAAACTAAAGTATCAGTGTCTAATATAGTATTGTTCAGTGTAATATTCTAAAAGTGACTGGAAGTCACACAGCAAATTCTAGATCCTAACAACTTGAGAAATATTGCTACTGTCCATTTTCCCATTCAGTGAAGTTCTTTCCTAGGAAATCTTTTGGTTGTACTGATCCATTAGCCATATATGTTGCCTTACTTCTCTCCTAAGTTATGTTTCTTTTTTTTTTTTTTTTTTTTTTTCTAAATTATGTTTCTAAAGAAGCATCCTGTTGAAATGGTGGCACATGCCTATAATCCCAGCACTTGGGTGGCTGGGTTATATAATGAGCTCAGGACCAGCCTGAACTGCATAGCGAGACCATGTCTCAAAAAAAAGAAAAGAAAAGTAAAACTGTCAAAAGGAATACAGTGTTAATATCAATTAAAAGTTTTCATTTAACTCAAATTTCAGATCCATTTTCAGAATACATGGGCCATTCAGAACAAGAACCTGTCACCAGTAAAGAAGAAACAGATATTTTAAGTTCTATAGTTCCTTCAACACAAGTTATTTATCAGCAGCAGAACTCTTCAGATGTCTATAAATCTCCGTTGCCTGCAGTAGAAGAATTTACACCTGGATACACACATTGTGAACAGGTCATAGACAAGGACATAAATAAAGCAACTTGGATACCTGAGAAAACACACTTTCAGGGTAAAAATATTTTAAAGGGAGGGAATAAAAATACATACACACAGAGACAGAGAGAAAGAGCATATGCCAAAAAAAGTACTCATGAGAAAAGAAAAACTAGGGCCAGAAACTTAGCTCAGTGGTACAAGTGCATGCCTGGCAAGCACAGGGGTCCTGAGTTTGATCCCTGGTACCAAAGGGGGCGGGGGTAATATATGACATATGTATTGATGGATGAGTTCTTTTGTACCTCTTATCCTTTTTAGTCTTTAGTAAATGTTGTCTAAACTTCATGTTCTTATGGCCTGCCAGGCATACATAGACCACAGGAAATATTGATGATTAGTGAAAGAGGGATGTGAACCCAATTTGACTGATTGAAGAACATGTAGAGGATATTAGTGACCAAATCTTTACTTTCTGCAAGTTAGGTCTTACAGCTGAGTCTGGGTAAAATTCAGAAATCAGAAAAATCTTGGTTCAACTCAGAGTTGAGACTATTTCCTAGCTGTGAAACGATAGGCAAGTTAACTTTTTCATCTTTCATAAAAAGAATGATGTTGGAGGGGCTGGGGATTTAACTCAGCGGCATAAGCACCTGCCTTGCAAGCGGGCAGTCGTGAGTTCAATCCCTGGTACCGATTTAAAAAAAAAAATGATGTTGGAGATGAAATGAGATATGCACATAAACTACAATGTCTTGCCCACGCTAACAGAAGAGTACAGTGAACCTTTCTGCTTTTTCCTTCTTTTAATCATTGTTCTGAAGTGGACTAAGTGAGAACATCAAAGCTTATAGCAGTGAGGGCAAACCTTTTAGAGCTTTCATTGTTAACAACCCACTTTGCACATGTGCCATAGGTTTGGCATCCAATTGCTTATAGCAAAGCAGTGGTTATATGTGCCTCTTAATCCTAATTAATGTGAGAAAGCTTTAGTCCCTTACAGCACCTGGGGTTGGACTGGGTTGGGTTGGGTTTTTTACCTTGGAAATAATCCTGATAGGAGTTAACTTGAAAGCATTTACTGATCATGAATAAAATAGAATTTTGTTGCCTTACAGTTATCAAAAAAGTTTTTAATGACTGTTCTTTGTACTACTTTTTAGGTTTTACTTTAAATCTTAAAAAAAAATTCTTTTTTTCCCCTCACAATTCCAACAGTTGACTTCCCTGAACTAGAACACATTTTTCCAAATTTGCATCATCAGCTCTTTAAACCATTAGAACCACATCCAGATTTTGACTTATCATCATCATCCTCTGGGATTTCTCAAGACAACAGAGATTTTTACCAGGTATATTAAACTAGATGCTCCAGTGTAGTGAATATCAAAGAGCAGTTTGAATTTTTTCTTTTGTAGAACAATGGTTAACCTTAGCACACTATTAGAATCACAAGGAAAACTTTAAAAATTCCAGTGCTCAGATTTTACTCAGACCAGTTAAATGAGTTATTGAGAGCACTCAGATACTATGTTTATTTTGGAAGCTACCCAAATGACTGGACTGTGGAACCTAGATAAAAGCAGCTACATTAGAGTTTTGTCCTATCCAACTATATCTTTAGCTGGTGGATATATTGACTGATAGGAAGAATTGGGTTTTTGAAAAAGCAAGTTATTAGCATGATAAAGTAGTAAAGTAATACAGCATTGATTGATTCAGCTAATAGTACATAATCAGTATTTCAACCATTCTCTGTTGTTTTCTGTCAGGGCTCAGATTCTTCATCTGAAACACCGTGTGCTGGTATATCATCCAGAAGTGCAGTTTCTTTTACAGCATTGAGGAGGACCAGCTTGCATTCTTTTAACATTAGCGTTAACCAGCAACCAGACCCTAACGTGGCTCATGCTGCTGCTCAGAGTTTTGCTACAGAAACTATTGAAGGTAGGTTTGGCTAAGAAAAAGTTAAATAAAACCTGATATACATATATATTTAACATTTCCTTGGGAATTATGCATAGCACCTGTTGCTTTGTCTCCATGAGTGTCTTCAGTATTACTCAGGATACTCTTTATGAATTAAATAACAGAACATGTGCTTAGTTTCTATTTTTGTTGTTTATTTGGTTTTGTTTTGTTTTGTTTTTGAGATAAAGCCCCTCTACATAGTTCAGGCTGGCCTTAAACTCACTACATAACCCAGGCTGGCCTCTAGCTTGTGGCAGTTTTCCTCAGCCTCCTGATATCCTAAATTACAGGCATGTGCCACCATGTCTAAGCTCTTTGGTTTACATTTTTGTAATACTGAACTTTAAAAGATCAAAATCAAGAGTTTCTTATTTCTGACCATTTAATTCTATCCTTCTATTAGAACTTTTTGTACAAAGTTTTCATATATGTCATTTATTTGCATACATGGGTGCATATTTTATTCTAAATATTTCTGTTAAAATCAAATGTTCAATTAAGGATATTAAAAAGGGAAAACAGGTTCCTTCTATCTTTTACAATCAAATTACTATATAGAAATATTTGTATAGCTTAGCAGTTTGAAAGGATGATGTGTAAATTATGATGTATTTCCACTTTTGGGTACAGAGTTCATGAATATACTGCTTTATGAAATTATTAGTTATGTATTTACCCTGTTTCTCAATTTTTAATGCTTCTTATTAAAACCTAGCGTTATAAAAACTGCTTAGAGCCTTCTTTTCCTCTCGTTGACACTGGGTATTAAATCTAGGATCTTACGAATACGAATGCTCTGAGCTATCCCAGCCCCAAAAACTTAAAATATGTTACTGAAAGACATCTAATGTTTTAAAATCTTAATACTATCCAAAATGATACAAAAGTGGAAATACGTTTATAGAAACAAATTAGAAAGTTAGGATTGGGTAATAGGCGTAAGGCATCAATTTTGCAAAAGAAATACATCTTAGAGATCCATACAACACTGCTCCTAAATTAACAAAATCGTATTTTAAGAATGTTAGGAGTGTATCTTATGCTGTTACTATAAATTTAAATTTTAAATTTTAAAAATCAATGATCAGTCCTTTCATAAGGGAAAAATCCTAAGGATTAAGGAGAGAGTATAGAATGTGAGCTGTAGGGTTACTGGAAAATCATTATCATCTTCCTATCCATGTTTATATATATCAGTTGTCACTTCTAATATTATAACCTGACTTCATGTGTAATTACTGAAACTATGAGAGACTACCAATAATTGTTTTATGTAAGGATTGATTTTTTAAAATTTTTTAATGCAGGATCTGAACAATCTTTTCAACAACTTCTGCCAGAATTTTCCTCACAGGAGGGGAGCCAGCATGCTGATCTGCCAAGTATTTTTAGCATTGAATCAAGAGATTCTTTTCAAGGCATGAAAAATGAGGACCATCTGTTGGAAAAACAGACTGAAACACTACAAAATAAGAAAAAAAATGTTCATTTCCCCGTGTCTATAGGAAACTTAAGTTCAGCCTGTAGTTCATCAGATGAGACCAATACATTTCATCAGTTACGTGTACAGCATAGCACTCCGTGTGGTTCTACCTCTAGTGAGTGCTGCATAAAGCACCATCTACCAACAGAAAGCAAAGATGAAAAGGTGAGCTTTGAAGACCTATCAAAAAGAGACAATGTTACAATTTTACAAAGTCAAGGACTCTCTGAAGATGATAAAAATGAAACCTATCGGATTTTAGCTATAAATCCACACATAGAAGAAACTGACTCTCAATTATGTGTAAGAACAATAGAAATGGGAACTTCAGATCAGACACCACAGTCATTAAGTATCCAAAATGAAAAATATTTTGAGAATTTAATTGAAACTCCAGAAATCATAAAAAATCTATCCCAGCCAACAGTGGCTGAGCCCTTTCGAAGTTCTGCATCATTTTCACTACGGAACTCTATTCCTTTCTGGGTAAGTGAGATCTCTGTTTATTAAACAGTGTTTTAAGTTCCTTTTTAGGAGGAACTTTTGAAACAAAATGTGAGAGAAATAACAAAGTTACTGAATATTCCTAAAATAAAATGAGGAAATTCCAAAGTTTGAAAAAGAATTTTATAAATGATCTTCCTTGCCTATCCAGATAACCCTTTTCTAACACATAATCAGTGTGTGCTTTCAGTGTTGACCCTTGAACTGAATCTATCGTTGGGATAACTGTTGTAACGTTTGTCTTGTTAGCAAGTTTATGACTTGCTTGGCCAACTGGACAAGGCTTTCAATTTCTTGCAAGCGCATCTCCTTTCACATATGACAATGGAGCTTTAAAATAAGGGCTCCATCTAGGCCATAGATGTATTCTTTGGCTGCTTGTCTTGTATCTCTGTTTTTAAATTACTGTGTATGAAACTAAATACTTCCTTAAATTAAAATTAAATTAAAATTAAAAACTGTTTTGAAAAATATATAACCTGTCAAGAGTGGTTGGTCTGCATGTGCCTGAAACCAATTAGGCAGTGTTCTCTTTAGATAGGATATGTAAAACCCCCAGCCAACCTGTCCAATCATGACCATTCAGATTTGTGATCCTTGCAATATTTTAAGGCTCCAAAGTCTTCTCTTAGTGATGAGGAATGCCTAAAGGGAAATCTAATCTGTTGATCTCCTACAACTTAAGATATTTTTTACACTTACATCTATTTGCACATGTAATGTGTATATATTTTTGGTTTTTTGAATTGTACTGCATAGGAGACAGAATCTGGCCACGGTATAATGGAAGAACCAGAACTTACTTTAGTAAGCAACAGTGATATCAGTATTGCTGAAACAGATTTTGCAAACCTAACCCTTGAAGAAAAGACAGAGAATGAAACAAAAAGCTGCTTTCAGGTAAGTTTTATAGCACTCATTATTGTGAATACACCTCATACAGGAACCCAACTGAAGACTGAGACAAAAAGGATACTAATCCTCACTTCCCTCACCTTAAAATTACCTGCAGATTCTTTAATTATATGTAAATGCAATAAACTATATAGTCACAGCAGAAATTGACTGTGGCTAGGAAAAGCTTTCAAAGTCTGAATGTACTGGTTTGCTCCCTGTACAATGTACATTCTAAAGTGTGAAGCTATTAAGACTTAAGTAGAATTTATGCCGCCCCTTTCCCATGGAAACCAGCAAATTCTCAGTCAAAAATTCTAAAGAAAAAAATTTTCTCTAGCTACTAATCAATTACCTTACTTGTCGTTTAGTTAGAATGGTAGTAGACACCTTTAGACAGACTCCTGTTTCCCAGCTAGATTTTTTTGCTTGTGTGTTTAAAACACTTTAAAGGTCAGGACCTTTACACAGGTTTACACAGGTATGTCTCCAGTTTTACTTGCATAGGGGAACCCTAAATTTGCAAGTCTCACCTTAGTTGCTGGGATTATAGGTGTGGATTTAGTTTGGTAGAACGGGTTTTTATGTTACTAGTCTTTTGATGGCAAAAAAGGCAATTTCTACCTATAAAGTAACCAAAATTTCTTAAGGTAGTCAATAAAGGGTATATATGCTGAGATAAAGTACACAAGTATGCCATCCTGTGTCTGTTTCCAGGAACTGCTCATCAGATAAACCTAAGGTGCAAGAAATTTATCACTTAGCACTAGGATCACACTCAGAATGTTTGTTCATACATATGAACAGGTTTTGCTAAATGCTTTTGTTAGTGAACAGAAGTATACGTGAACCGAGATATTACTATATTGGCAAACAAGCAGTAATAGTTGGCTGTATTTGGGTATAGTGAAGCTGGCAACTGAAGAGCCTTTTTTAGAAAGTTGGTTACACCAAACTACTTACTCATCTTGGACTTTCTTCCCAATTAGGTGAGTGAATTTCTGCCTGTTGTGTCAGAAACCTCTGTTTATCCACTTGTGTCAGAGCTTTCTAAGGATAGATCAACAGGATCAACAGGTATCTTAATTACAAAAAATGGCATCTGCCTGCAGTTGGTGTAAGATTAAATGTGAAGATTTATTTAACATTTCCCCAAAATTTACAGCCATGCCAGAGAGCTTACAAGAAGCATTTGTTAAGAGAAAAAAATCATTTATAGAGAGATCCTACCAAAGGCAGAAAGAAATACGGAATAAAACTCGAGTTTGTGAACATTCCCAACTCAAAACAGTTAAGGAAAAGCCATCTACAGGTAAAGGTATGTTCAAAGTATTGATCTTCAATGGATCAAAGGATCAAATCTAAGGTTCCAGCCTCTTTGCTTTACTATGAGTTATCCAGTTATCTGTGAGTATACAGGCTGCCTCTGGGAGCTTAGCTAATTGTGCTGATATTTTTTTTTTTTTTGGTTTTGAATTTCCACCAACAGTGAATGCCCATGTTTCAATAATGATCTCATTTAAGTGAGGTAAAAAAAAAAAGGGTATCTGGATAGGAGACAAGGGGATGGAGGGAGGTGTGGAGGAAGGGGAAGTAGGGCACAGAAACTAAGGAAGATTTGGATGTAGGGTCTGAAGGAGAGGTGTTACAAAAGGAAAAAAAAAACACTTGTTCTTTTCTCAGGTTCCTTAATAAGTGGCCTCAAGGCTGTGAATAAAGTTAAGGTGTGTTTTCCTGAAGACAGAAGGATGGCACAAGCCCTAATGCACAAAAGGGCTCTAAGGTACTTGGTTTGCTGTGTCCTAGTGATTCTCCTATTCTGCTGCACTATTTACACCTAATCTGGTGAATATTTTATAGGTTATACAATCAGTTATCTGAAGTACAACAACAAAAGGAAGAGAAAGCAAAGCAAGAAGCTTATGCTCAAAACAGAGCAAAGGCAAAAGAATTTCATAAGGTGAGGCTTCCTAGCCCAACCCTTCAGTGATTTTTAAATGTATTTAACATAAATGAAACTGATCATATAACTTTTATTCCCTTTACAGAAAACACTAGAGAAACTTCGAGCAAAAAATATGTGCTGACTTTCCACAACGTGTATAGTAAACATGCCATTGGACATTAAATAAATTTTTATTTAAGAAATTTCACGTGATTTCTGCAATATTCCTTAAGTTCAGTCAATAACATTGTCATCTTCAAGATAGCCCTGAAAAGCAAAAAGACATTAGTTATAACTCTTAAGTATTTTTCCAGTCACAGCTGAGCAGTAACTCAATACTTTATCATGTCTTTCTCCTCAGGAAAACATAGCACTACTGAGTGACTATGACGTACTGTGGAGAACTTCATTCTGTGGTCACTGCGTTAAGAGCTCTTGGTTTCACATTCCCACAAGCCCTCTTTGAAATGACCTGTATAGTTACATGCACGTACCTTTTTAAAGGAATGTGCTGCTTAATCCACTCATTCCATCTCTCCTGCATAAGAAGCCATATAGTCAGTGAGTTCTAGAGATCCTTGTGGTGGGTAAGACTAAGAATTTTACATGTAGCTTTTGTAAACATATTTGACAGTGTCCACTTAGGCAATGTAATGTTCCCAACAGGTTGATTGCTAACAAGATAGCAGACATAAAACCTAGTGGGAAATTTTTTTATGGCCATGTCCACAGCAAATGAGAAACTTCATTCTAATAGCCTTGGTAATGACCATCATAATAATCCAGTGGTTTATAGGTAAGATAAAAACAATTACTTACCACAATTCTTTTATCTCCAGTTGAATTACGGACAGTGACAACTTCAGAACTCCTGTTTCAGGAAACATTTCACATTTACAAAGTACTATATAATCCAATACCCACACTGAGAATTTCAACCTTCATCTAGTTCGTATCACTTTAGAGAATGTAAAATACACCTCAGAGAGACCTCATATTCTAAAATAGTGCGGATGTTCATGTTCAGAGAGGCTATTTTCATTCAGCCCTTTCAGAGCAGTTGAACATTTTGCCAGTCATCACAACATTATACACCCATGCCGATAAAACCTAGATATTTTTCTTATAGATTTGGTTGCAAAAAAATTCTAAGTAGGTTTGGTCTTTGAAATGGAAACTTAAGTCTTACCTGGGATCTTATCATCCAATTTCTGCTGACGATCTGTATTTTAGGAGTCTAAAATTTGAAGTATATATAGTATTGGTATTTTGTCACATAATCTAGATTCTATAAGCATTCAATTATAATACTGAAAGTTTTTCAGTAGTAGGAAAGATGTTACAGGTCTCATTGTCACCACTGTAAACATTTACTGTGATGGAAGCACGACCTGTGACAATTTCAGCCACATTGACCAGTTTTGGACACCAATCAACAGTGCCCATTCTAATCTAAAATGAGGCTGTCTTATAATTTGTTGTTACGCTAACAATAGGGGAAGATATAAAACACCTTACATTTATGGTAGATGGATCTGCCGCCTTGCTGACACTCTAAATTAAAAAAATATTATATTGACTATGAATAAAATGAGTATTAGAAAAACAATGTATCAGTAGAAATACCAGGTTTAACATGCACAAAGCCAAGAAAACCAACGATGCCGCACACTGAATTCCTGTCGCACTGTCTTTTGAACACATCAGCAGGAATAAACTGTTGAGTGCAGATACCATTCAGTGCAATCATTTGAGGAAAGATCCTCTACTGTACTTCCAGTTAACATTTATTACATTTTCTAATGAGATCACTACTTATAAACATCTTATCTGTTCAATTTCCACATGCAGTTAAAAGTCAAATCACAAAGGACTACCTCGGTGTAAAGTGCTTGTGTAAAAATTCTCAAGGTTTCAATATACAATAAAAGAGTCAGGATCACTGTTGCTCAGCTGTGTCCCCAGGTTACATATGCTACATATTTGGGTAAAAACTGTACAGCTGCCAAATAAACAAAGGACAGTGCAAAGATAGCCACCCATTTTTCATTTTATAAATATATGTATCACATTTGTGCAAAGACCTTTATTGTCAATTTTTCTAAGTCCTTGATAAACTACAAGTTTCACTTACTTCTCTAACACATGCATGAATTCATATTCATTTCCTACAGAGAAATTACAAAATAAAAAAGATTTAGAACTAAGTATTTCCAGTAAATCAAAGTTATCTATGCAGTCAATAGCTATCTCCAGCTGTCAGAATTAAGTTTTAGTTCATGTTTGTATCATGCAGCAGTTGAACAGTTAAATTCATCATGTAAACTGGAACTATTCTTATAGTATTATGCTGTCAACAATGAAAACTTACCTAAGCTATTCAGAGTAGGTTCAGAGCTCTCAGACATGCAAAATATCTAAAGTTAAAAGAAAAAGTATTAGTTTTCATTCTTTTTGCTGCATACTTTTTGCTGTCTTGTAGTGCTTTATCACAGGCCTAAGAAGCAGACCTGTGAGTAGAGCAAAACCAATGTTACTCTATGAGGCGTTTCCAGCGATGTGTAGCTACAGAAGCTCCATCGGGATAGACCTCAAGACAGCCTAGAATAGGAACAGCAGGAATTGTGCATTGCTTCAGCAAAACAATGTGACAATAGCAGTGGATATGAATACTTAATGGCCAGAAAAATCACTCCATGGTTTCTAATAATTGTGTTTAACAGAGTATTAAGTAACAAGTGCCTTTTTTGTTTTAAGATTGTTTCACTAGGGGGCTGGGGATTTAGCTCAGTGGCATAATTGCCTGCCTTGCAAGCAGGCAGTTGTGAGTTCGATCCCCGGTACCGATAAAAAGGAAAAAGACAAAAAAAAAATTGTTTCAGTAAGGTAGATAGGCTAAACTCCAATTAGCAATCCTGCCTCAGCCTGCTGAGTGTACAGGGAGACTATACTATATAAGCCTATTGCAACAGCTAAGTTGAATTAAGGGGAAAAAATTCAGGTATGAGTTACAGTATCAGTCATACGACCTTCAATACGAACTGCTAACATTTATTTATAGCCTATTCAAAGTGAATGTTTCAAAAAATGTTACCACACAAGTATGTAAAAAATGCTTAAATCTAAAGTTTGTTTTTGGCAATCAAATGTCCTAACTGGAATTAAAGTTAACAATCTTTTATTAAAAACCCAAGGAAATTTTAATCTGATGCTGTTACTTACTACATTTAAACAAACATGATCCAACACAGTAAGACAGATCTTCAACTGCAGGCACATGTTCAAACAGAAGCCTTTAAGGAAAAAAAAAAAAAGTATCTTCATGTGCTACAGCATAAAAACTGGAATACTCAAGTCTAGTTTGTTCATATCCTATACTGTACATTAACTTGAGTCTCAGAATAAAACTTAGGCTATCATGTATTTTTGTTTTTGCTTTGTTTTCTGAGGTAAGGTTGCATATATATATATATAAAAAGATAGATAGGTAGATAGTCAGATATGCCTGAGCTTAATTCCTCTTGCCTCAGTCTGGGAGTTTGGGATCACAGGCTTGTACCACCCACTCATAGCAATAATATTCCTTCTTATATGTATCAAAACTCATACTGAACAATGAGTTCTGGGTTGCAAAAGAGGTTTTATTTTTGCACCTGTTCAGTAAGTTTTTAGTCCACTAAGTTAAGACAAAAACATACTCAAGTGCCAATGTACAATCAATGCCATGCATACTTAGCAGTCAACTATACAATGTTAATAAGGGGATGTAGTTGAAATAGTGAAACTTATTTTCCAAGTGCATTAGGAAGTTGTTTATCAGCTGCTGGGGATCAAACCAAGAGTCTCGTGTTGCTGAACTGTATCCCAGAGAAGTGATTAAACATTTGACAGTAAAAGTCCCTTTTTGTCTGAATAACGTTGGGGTTTAAAACATGGTGTTCCCAATAATCTAATGAAGCTGGTTGGATGTCAGCGACTCTTACATTTTCTTTCAGTATTCCACTGACACCTGGTTACTGCAACTATTTACCAGTGCTTGAAAATTTGTATTTCTTTAATTTCTTCCACAAACGTCCCAATTTTTATTTTCTCCTTAGTTCTTGCTTTAAGTCTCTTCAGCAACAGCTATCTCCACATTAATCATCTTTGGTCATTTCTTCCTATCTCCCCTAAAAGTCACTTTCTGTACACTGTTTACCTTGACATTCACATCTTTATCTCCTTTTCAGATCTTTTTTGCCTTCCGCCCAGTATTTCTAGCCTTAGAAACTCTCTTCTTAGACAAAGCAGCTGCTTTATTCTCTTGCTGTAAATACACATTCATCTTGTTTGGAAATTCAGAACTTATTATGAAACAACTCTCCTCCTGCATAAAAACACAATACAGTAAGAAAGAATAATCATACACCCAAGGGCTACTTTACTTGAAATTAAAAATCCAAACTAACATTTGTGTATTTTCTCAGAGCCTAATTAGCGATACCTATATTAACATGCTGTCCCAAGAGGTATAGTACTTGCTAGGGTGTGTTAAGAACCTGTGTTGGATAGGAGAAAATAAACATAGGAGAAAATAAAACTCATTTTCTCATCATACATCCAAAACTTAACATTTCCATTCTTTCATCTCTTGCTTTAAAGGTTGATACTGGGTCTTTCAAAATTTAAATGGAAAGCTAGATATGGTGGTATACACTGAGACAAGGGGACTGGCATTTGTGCCACCCTGGGCTATATAAAACAAGACAAAAATAAGACCTACAATTCCTGTACCAATGCCTGCCTTCTTCAAATAAGAGAAAATTGAGTTACTTACTACCAACTTGATATCACATTCATCATGTTCAAGATGTGTTCTCTCATCTTCTCCTCTGTAACATTAAAATGTACCACAAATCATACACAATTTTCTAGCATTAAGACACTACTCTAAATGGCCTAAAGAACATTATTATTCAAGATTAAAACATACTATATCCTATTTAACATTGAAATGGGATGGTTTGTTTGACTTGGCTTAAATGGAGCCAGAATGGTCACACACCTGTCAACCCAGCATTTGGGGACATCTAGACTACATAGCAATAGCCAGACTGGGAAAAAAAAAAAAAAAAAAAAAAAAGAAACAAAACATGACAGAATAGTTTAAAAATGAGCAAAGAGCCATTTTATCATGCAACTTACTCTGACTCTTCAATAGGAGAAATGGATCCATCATCATCCAAGTATTTGTATCTCCGACTATCAAGATCTTCTTTTTCTAAATCTTCACTAACATTCATTTGTTTTAATGATTCCTTAAGGTGGTGTTCATACTTCAGTTTTTCAATGTAGTTAAAAAATCCTCTTGCAACAGCTTGCTGTGTTAAAAAAAGTACAAAACATATTTTGTGTCTTAGCCTTTCAAAAGTAACTCCTCAGCATTTCTGGACCAGACACATCATTTAATATGACCACACAATTATTATTACACTAATAGTAACACTTATCACTGCACTTATAATTATTCTCAACATTTTAGGACTAGCAAGGGACCATGTTAACTATACACCCAATATACAATTTTCACACATCCCAAGAATCTACCGTTAGCATTAAATATCAGAAAATAACAGTTAGCTGGGCATGGTGGTGGCATGTTTGTAATCCCAGCACTCAGGGGTGAGGTAGGACTAACTGCCTTGAGCCTGAAGCCAGCCTGGCTACAAAATGACGGTCTCAAAAAAAATTTCTTTTTCAAAGTAACAGGTAAGCTTAAGACAACATGGTTTACAGCAAAATGGATGTCATGTTTTAGGGTTGATGAGCTCAAGGGAATACACACAGGGAGACTTGGAACACTCTTCAGTTACACTTAAGGAATATTCCAGTGAAGATTTTACCTAGAAACCCAAGTGAAGTGCAAACTATAGAATGGAATCAACTTTTAAGTACAGAATCAAAATTGCACTTCTTTTTTTCAAGACAATTTAAAAGAAGCCAAAACATTGGTATTTTAGCAATATGTATGCTTATATACAAACTCACTTCAAAACTCAAAATTTTCCTCCATGGTAATGGTTTCCTTCCATCCTCAGACTGTAAAATTGGGAACCTAGGTCCTTTGTCTTTAATTTGTTTTTTATCTATTTGTGACTTTCTAATGTTTCTTCTTCCTTTTGGTCTTCCTCTTGGTGTTAACTTTGGCTTGTATTTCCTCTTTTTACGTTTCTTCTTTTTCTTGAATCTTTCAAAAATAGCTTTCAAAGTTAGTGGTCTTGGTTCTATGGATGAGTCACTTGATGAATCTGTCTGAACACTTTCAGGCATATGAGCAAATTTCCTCATGGGGTTTCTTGGAGTCCGCTGAGGTAAGGAAGGCGCACACTGTGTTCTAAATAAGCTGCTACCAGATGAAGAGCTATCACTAGAAAATAAATTTTCTCATATTACTAAATGCTTGCTACTAGTAAGTAATACACAACCCCCAAGTGCCTATTTCTTACAACCAAGTCAGAGAACATGGTCAGAATAAAAACTTGTTAGAATGGGTTCAATATCAGATCGTCATTGACCTATGACCACCTAAAATGGTCTCAATTTGTTAAAACACAAATTTTATTTTCCAAGAGAAGACATACATGCCCACAAGTTATCTGGCTAACTGTTGCAACTTCTTGTAACAGCCTGCTAAGAAATAAAACACCCACCATCAAAAATGAAATTCATAGAGGAAGTCAAGATACCAGCATCCTAAACAAAGAATGTGTTCCAGTATAATATATTTGGATTCGGAATCAATTCCTTCAGAATCCAAATATGTAACTGGATAAGCTAGGAAAATGTTGGCCAGTTTCTTTCCTAAATCTAGATAATTATCTTTAACACCAACTTCATGAGTTAATTTCCATCTCTAGGGCTGGGAATTTAGCTCAGCTGCATTAGCACCTGCCTGGCAAGCAAAAGGTGGTTGTGAGTTCAATCCCTGGTAACAACAACAACAAAAAAACCCCCCAAAACTCTAATGCAACTTTATTAAATCCAGTTTCCCTGTAAGTCCATTTACCTTTGATTTTCCATTTCCACAGCTGTATCAGATATCATATAGTTAGCATCCATTCCTGATTTATCCACTTTGTCTTACAAGTTTCTGAAATTAACAAAATTCAGTAAAAGTGATGTAGCCTTCCTAAACAAGTGCTGACATACATATACAGTCAATTTCCACTAAAAATTCTTAAGTCATGCCACTGAAAATTTATGCATATTATTTACCACTTTTAAGCTCTAGGGAACATCCACCTCAGTTTCTTTAAAACTAGAATTTTCATTAACAGGCTAGGTTTTCAGTTTATGCTCTCTAAACTTACCTAATGTAGCAAGATCCCTGAAAGTGCTTAATTCCAACAAACTTCTCAACACAAAATAGCTTATTACTCACAAACCTAAGCCAATCAGGCATTTCCTAAAATCAAGGGGGTACTCCTAGGAAAAACTTGTGCCAAGAAAGTCTAAAGGCCAAGTATGCCTGTCTATGTAAGTCAGTAATAATCCTTTAGACTGCATCTCCATCCAATTCTTGGTCTGGAACTTTCACTTACTGCCCTTTTCAGTGTTCCTTCTTGATTTTTTCTCACTGATTAAACCATCTTGTCAAATTATCTCATTATTGGTGGAAATTTAGTAATTCAAAGTTTCTGGCAAACAGTATTCTGATGCTACTCTGGTCTCTACTTTCTTGCTAAAATGCACAACCAAAAAGTCAATAAAAACAAACGGTGACTATTAGATAGGTGCAGTGGTGAAGCCTGTTATCCCAGCACTCTTGAGGCAAAAGGATTGGAAAAATAATTCTAGCCCACCCTGGATGAATTAGTGACTTAGCAGGTCCATCTCTAAATTTTTAAAAAGGGGTGGAAATACAACTCTATAGAAGCTGTTGGTTCAATCTTCACTACAAAAGTTTAAATAAAATATTACTTTCATTATTTAATCTCCCATGACTTTAAAAAAATTTTCTCAGTATACTTGAAAAACAGCCAAGTTATTACAAACCTTAACACGACTAACTTGCAAAATATTTCAAATACAGGAATACGAAAAGCTCACTAAATCCTCAATTCGTTAAATGCCTAACAGACCCAAGTGGTAACTTCCTACTTCCTAAATGTTTCGTTAGTTCTCTTAAGTAGAAAATCTTGAGTCACTAAATATACTCTCTTGAAATACACACCTTGGCCAAGTCAGCTAGACCACCCTCAAAAAAAAGGGAGGACCGGATGATGGAAGGCGGTAATACTAGCACCCTCGGAGACTGAAGCAGAAGGATCACTAAACTTGAGCACAGGGGCAGGGGCTTTAGCTAAGAAGCATAAGCGCCTGCCTGCAAGCTCAAAGGTTCTGAGTTCGATTCCTAGTACAAAAAACAAAACAAAACAAAAAAACCCAACCTTGAGCACTGTTTGGGCCCCTTACCAGGAATGTTTCAAACTAAATAATTAAACATGGTTGGAGATGTGGCTCATAGCTAAGGTCCTGGATTTTATACCCAGTCCCACACACATACAAAAAAAAAAGTACTAGGCGTGTACCCCACTTGTACAGCACTTGCCTAAAACGGGCATGGCCTGGGTCGAGCCCCAATGCCGGACAAACAAAAGCCGATATTAAAAAAGCATTACTGACACACGCGTGTATTTTAAAAATTACTCAACTACAGCTGGTTTAAAAATCCCCCTTTCGATTCCAGCGTGTTGACGCTAGCCTTAAATCCAGCACTCAGAAGACTGAGGCAGGCCGATCTCGGCCCGGAATACAAGGCGAGATCCTTCTCACAAAGAAAGAAGGCACAAAAGCTCGGAACGTGTTTAGAAGCCCTCCAACTCGGCCGTCGCTTCCAATCCTGGCATTCTGAGATTTAAAGCCGACAAGTCTGGCCGGAGCAAACGGAGATAACCTGGGAGTTACAGAAGTGGAGGTTCAATGGCGGACCCCTCGGGCCACGTGGGCCAAGGATAAACCATTAGACAGGTAACCCATCTCGACCTAGTTTTACCACTCACATCTGACACCACGAGCCGCGCTACACTACAATCGCCTGACCCTCCAGCAAGGCCGAAACAGGCCAGCCGCCGCCCCAACCCGGGCGCGGGGCCTTCCGTGCAGGAACCCAGCAGCACACAACCGGGCAGATGACGGCCTCTCGGACCTGCCGAGGACCACTTGCAGCCCGCACCCGGGCAAGTGCCAACCACTTGCGGCCGGAGCCTGGACATTGCGCCCTTCTTCCTATTACCCATCCAACTCCATCCCGCTCAGCGCACACCACCACGTACCTCACACCAACAGCGCCGCAGAAAAGAACGCGTGGCCTCCAGACTCCGCTAAAAGTGGGCCTGGAATCTCGCGAGACAAATTGGCTCCCGAGACGAATACGGACAGTGGGCGGAGCCGGGAGGCGCCAGCGGCTTCGGAGCACCCTGAGGGGCCGGGAGGCGGGAGTGGGCGGGCCTAAGCTGGTTTAACGGGAGGCAGGCAAGTTGACTGGGAAGTGTTCAGTACTGAGGTCTGACCGCTTCATCCAGTGATCGGTAAGTGTAATAGCCAACATTTTGGCAAATAAAAACAAATGTCGGGCCAGGGGTGGTGGCGCACATCTATGTAATCTCAGCACACCAAATGCTGATGTGGGAGGGTCAAACATTCGAGTCCAGCCCGAGCAATTTAGTGAGACCCTCCCTGGGGAAAGGCCTTGGCTTCGATCCCTAGTATCGCGGAAAAGAAAAAGGAAAGCAAAAAGGGAAAATAGAAAGAAAGAAAAAAATGCTTGGGATCAAGTGAGTGAAATCAATGAGAACAGGTGGGGGGTTTTTTTCCTACTTTTCTTTTTAATTTCTAAATCGAGGTGTGGTCCAGGGTGAGTGCGGGCGACTTGTCCTGCCACGGTCTGTCTTGGCTTTACACAGCCTATCTGTTCAAATACTGGGAAAGGCCCGTGCATGACCGTGACTGCAAGTGTGTAATCCCTGTGCGAGAGACCAGTGTGACTCCATGGTGTAACAGGACGGACGTCTCTTGTCCTGCCTGATGGCCAGGTTCCTTGTATTCCAAAGAGCTGCGCAGGACACACAGAAGCAGTAAGTGAGGCCCAGATTTATTAAAGAAAAGTACACTTTACCCAGCGGGAGCGAGCCAGTGAGAAAGCTCCAGAGTGAGTTTGACTCAGAGTGGACCTACCTTTGGAGGTTGGAGGTTGAAGGTTGAAGTACACTTGGAAGAGCTTCAAATAGAGATCAGAGGTGGCACCTGAAGCACTGCGGCGAGTTCCAGGGATGGCGTTGTTTTTTTTTTGTTTTTTTTTTTTTTTTTTTTTTTTTTTTGCTTTTCTAGCATTTGGGGAGGGATTCAGGGTGGTAACTCACTGGACTCTGTCCAGTTAATTGAGTCTCCACCCCCACGTGGGGAGGGAGAAATTATAATTTTAGGTAGCCTGGAATGAACCGCATTGGCTGGCAAAGACCCCAGAGTCGAATCCGTTGTGCTAATATTATAATGACTGCTGAGTTATTCTAAAGCAATTGGAATGCGTGCTCCTGGGGCTGTCAGAAGTCAAGGAAGTGAAATCCGGATGGGAAGTTAAGAAAATGTAGTAAGAGCTCCCTAGGTCCTCGAAGAGCCAAAAGGCGACCTGTCCGTAGACAGCCTGAAGTCAAGATGTCTCCTTCTTATTTTCTGCCTCAAATAGCACACCCATGTCCCCTCCCCTGCTCAGATTTGGCTCACCCTTACACGCTAAACTAAAGGTCCGCCTCCCAGGAGGAATTGGTTAACCTTTCACCCCAAGATACCTGCACAGGACTCTTGCCACTGCCAGCTCCTTCTAAACTCTGAGCAAACAGTTTCAACTTGTTTAATTTGCTTGGCTTTCCCCCAAGCATAAAAAATAAGAAACTAGTTTGATTTTTCCCCCATTTTCAGACCTCTTGTATCACATAATGAACTAGTAAAGGTACCTATTTCTAGTTTATAGTTAGTCATTTTTGGATTGGACAGGCCTTGAAGTAATATGTGCTCTTTACTCCAAATAGTAAACAATTCCAAGTATAAGAAACTCAACCCTGTAGTGTCTGAACTACATTGTCAGATCTTATCTCAAAAACAATTCAGGGGCTGGGGATTTAGCTCAGCGGCATAAGCACCTGCCTTGCAAGCAGACAGTCGTGAGTTCGATCCCCGGTACCGATAAAAAGGAAAAAGACAAAACAAAAACAAAATCCAAAAACTACAAACTGAAAAAATTGTTTTAAACAGTTTTTAGAACACTATTTAAACCAGGCGTTAGTGGTACACACACTCAGGAGGTTCAGGGAAGAGGACCACTGCAAATTCAAGGCCAGCCTGCCCTATAGAGTGAGACCCCGTTTGCAAAAATGAGACAAAACAAACCAGAAAGTATTTCAAGTGATTCTCAGGAACCACCTTTCACTTGCTAGATAATCATGTTCAAACCAGAGACTATTCAGATTAGTGAAGCGTTCTATTAACAATTTTGATGACAACTCTGGCAACACTCCTAATGCCCTTACGAGTTTCATCTGTATTCTTTGTTGTAATTGGCCTGGCGTGGGATTCCCCACCCACCTCTTTTTTCTTTTTACATCTGGCTTCATTTTATTTCATCTCACTCAATTTGCATACCTTATCCCTTGAACACTTACGGTAAGACATTTCTGTGTATGTATACCTTTTTACTATAAATTATATTTAGCATATATTTTTAAAATATTGAATTAAATATCAAATTATAATTGGTTCAATTATGAGAATAATTTCATTTTAAAGCTGCCTACTATGACAGTAAACATTTGAATTCTATAAGGTAATCATTTCCATAGGTTTCCATTTCTATAAGTAATTTAAGTTTTTTTCTGTAAAAGTGATAATCTAAGAAGCTTAATTTTTCAGCTTATATGTCAAGTATTACAGTAGGGAACATAAGTTATCTATTACAGAGATACATGTGTTGTACATGTGTTGAAATACACTGTTCTCAGCAACCATCTAGACACTCAAATCCTTAGTAAGTGTCTTTTATTTCAAGACCAACCATTAGAAAATTACAGTCCAGACAGATGACAAAAGAAAATGAAGCACATGTATCCTCTTGGCTTGGTGTTTCCTCTTGTGAGTTTATTTTAAATGTCAACTGTTTAACAGTATTGGACTGGACATATACCTCAGGGTACAGTATTTGCTAAGCATGCAGGAGACCCAGGATTGGATCCCTAGCACCATAAAAACATAAGAAAAAAACAGTATTAAAAGAGATCTTTTGCCAGTTACATACTCGAATGCTAAATGCCGAAGCTGGGATTGGTTTTCTGTGAGGAGAGAAAAATCTTAATGCTCTTTGCCCTCTTTATATAACTGAACTTTTAATGTTCACTTCCAGAACAGCTTGGTGCACTGTGAACCCTTTCAAAAGTCAACGATAGCTTTATTTGAATAACCTTCTACCTAAAGAAGAAAATGATGGCTTGTGCTGAGTTTTCTTTTCATGTGCCAAGTCTGTCAGAGCTTGCTGAAGGTAAAAACAGTATTAACTTTGGATTTTTAAGAGCTGCTCTCAAGAAAAACTAAAAGATTCTAAAATATATGTGTGGTTCCTGTATGTATCTATATCTTACTTATTGAAATGGTACTTTTGATACAGAATTTTCCATTTCATTATCTATGCTGTTTTTTTTTGTTTTTTTGTTTTTTTGTTTTTTTTGGGGTCTTTTTCCTTTTTTTTTTATCGGTACCGGGGATTGAACTCACGACTACCTGCTTGCAAGGCAGGTGCTTATGCTGCTGAGCTAAATCCCCAACCCCCTCTATGCTGTTTTTTATTAAGAAGTCTAAAATGTTGTCCCTCCAAATAAACTAAACTGACCAATTGCAGATTGTTGAGGATAGCAACTTTACACAAAGAAAACAACTCTAATAATTCAAGATTTAAGTATGTTCAGACTTTCCCAGTTTTGCTTTAGCTTTTTACCACTTACGTAAATATGTAATCTACTCTTGTGAATTAATGATGCTCCCAAATATGCTACTTTTCCTTATCTGATTTGACAGATTGCCAGTAAACTAGTTTAGATTTCTGTGTATATTCTTATGTTTCTACTTTGTTCAATCAAGAATTGAAAGCAACTTTCTAAGATAAATTAGAATGAAGGATAGTTGAGGAAAGGGAAAGTGGGAGCATAAAATGAAGTCCAGAATAGTACTATTCAAAAACTGTCAGCAGCATGGTTGTGTAAGCCTGTCACCTCGGCACTCAGGATCCTGAGGCAGAGGATCTAGAGTTCAAGACCAGCCTGGCAATGTAGGGGGACCCCATCCCAAAAAGCAGGGGAACAAAAAGAAGTCTGTTAGAACTATGGCTTTATTTAACAGCCTTTATGTTCTATGCTAGTGGTTAGCTGCTATACAAACCCTTCCCTTAATTCTCAGTGTGTTGTCCTGGGTAATTGTCTTCCTGATAAGATTAAATTTTAAAAATATATATTTTCATTTTTGGCTCCTTGTGGTTTTCTTTTTTTCCTGTTACGTTTTTTTAATTCAGTGGTAGCTAGTAAATAACCTGTAGGGCTAACATTCTTTGGTTTGTATTTCTTTTCTATGAGCTTTGTCTTTCCACATTTGATAGGACACTTTTCTTTGAGTGCCTCTCTAAACTAATCTTCTCTTATGTTTTTACGTTTCTGTTTTCTTTCTATATATACAGAATACTTGGTACAGGTACAAATGTAGTCTTAAGCTTCTTGGCTTAAATTCACAAAATCTTTTTAAGAATTTGCTTTCTTTGTAATTGGTGAAAAGTAGCTTTTGCTATTTTCACATACTAAATCTTATATATTCATAAACCATTCAAGATAGGGGAATTTTCCAATTGATTTACGTTTTGTTCTTAACAGATAAAAGATCTGGTATAGAATATCTGATGCTTTCACATTTTCAGAGTCTTGCTATAAAAGACAAACTGCCAGGTATAGGGGCACAGGCTTATAATCCCAGCACTGGGGAGGCTGAGGCAGGAGGGTCACTGAACTGCTAGGCCACCCTGGAGTCCATAATGAGTTCAAGACCAGCCTGAACTACATAGCAAGACCCTGTCTCAAATAAATAAATAGCACTATCATAAAAACTTTTATGAAATAAATAGTACTATTATGAAAATTTTTATAAAAACTTTTTTTCTTATAAAGTGGGGAGTTGGGATTTGAGACAGGCTCTCACTGTGTAACCCAGGCTGGTCTAGAACTGTAGATTCTTCTGCCTTAGCCTCCTGAATGGTAGAATGTACGCTACTCTTAAGTGTACAGCTTGCTGAATGTTAACAGATGCTTACATCCATACAACTACTTTCCAGATCAAAATATATTTTCAGCATTCCAGAAGGCTCCTTTATGGGGCTTACACTAAGAAGTTACTTTGGTTAATTTTTTGGTTAATTTTTTTTTTTTTTTTTTGGTACCAGCGATCAAACTCAAGACCTCTCACTTGCCAGGCAGGTGCTTGTGCCACTGAGCTAAATCCCCAGCCCTACTTAGGTTAATTCTTACTTCCACCACGGAAGTTAACCTGTATGTGAAATACAGAGGGTAAAGCTGTATAATCCTTACTGTTTTCTGTTTGACTTTTTTGCTCTCGACATTTTGTCTGTTATCTTCCTTGTAGTTCTTGCAAGTGATTGTTTCCTTTTTAAATATTTATATTTCAGTATGTTTTTGGAATCCTCTCTCCCAAAGGCAGAGAATCCTCATCTGCATGGAGTCTATTTATTTTCGGTTATTTGTTGTTTTTGTTTTGTTTTGTTTGTTTTTTTGGTACTGGGGATCCAACTCTCAGCCTCTGAGCTTAGCAGGCAGGCGCTTACAATAGAGCTAATTCCCCAGCCTATTTTCAGTTATTTGTAATCACTGTAGATATCTGTGGCTTAGTCTACCTGTATCTTCTGGTTCTATCTAGTTGTATTCATTGTATTCATAATAAAACCATTCTCAGGTGAGAGTGACCCAGTGTGGTAAAGTATGGGCTTAGCATGCTTGAGGCCTGGGATTCCATCTCCAGGACCACCAAAAGAAACAACAAAATTCAGCATTTTCCCTTCATTTTTAGTATTTAAATTTAGGTTGAGTGTGACACACAGAACATTTGAAGGAGGATTTGATATATGGTGGCCAATAATATACCTGCAATTATATAACCATTTTCATGTCTTTGTTAGTTATGCAGAAGGGGCTAAAAGATAATTTTGCTGAAGTCCAGGTTTCTGTAGTTGATTGTCCTGATTTGACTAAGGAACCATTCACCTTTCCTGTAAAAGGTAAGTAGTTTTTTAAAAATATTCTTTTGGGGGTGCTGGGGATTTAGCTCAGTGGCATAAGCGCCTGCCTTACAAGCAGGCAGTCATGAGTTCGATCCCTGGTACTGATAAAAAAGAAAAACACACACACAAAAAAAAATTCTTTTGGTTTTCAGTCAAAATCTTTTTCCCATGCCAGAAATATTTTTATCTACAAACAATTATTAACACAACTTTTCAGCCAAAGATTGCATAATTTCCATTCTATGCTCATTGTTTTCTGATATTGGTCTAATTTCATTTTAATACCTTTGTGGGAAAACATTGTATTTTATATACTTTTGTAAATTTCACTGCTTATATAATTCTGAGTACACTAGACTCTTGATATTGCATGATTTTTTAAAATGAGCTTTGTTTTTAATTGCTGAAGTGACTATTAGGAGAATTTGACTGCTGTGAGTTTGAGGCCCGCCTGGGCTACATAGTTGAAGGATGGCCTGAACTACATAGTAAGACCCTGTTTAAAAAAACAAACAGAACAGAACAAAAAGAGGTTTGTATTTGACTCATCTATTAAATACTTACAACCCTTCCACAAATCTGCAAAGTGATCTACTGTTTCATGTGAGATGGGAAAAAAATTGGTTGAGTCAGATAAGTTGTCAGTGGGATGGTTACCTGTATAAATGTCTTAATTTTTACAATACTCTGACAAGGTAAACACAAGTTCTAGACTATAAATGAGAAAACTGAAACTGAGAGAAGCTCAGCAAACTCAGTGAATCAGCATAATCAGATTCAAATGCCAGCCTCCTGGCTTCAGAAGTCTAATCTTTTCCCTTTATACCCTACTGTGATAAGGAATTTGTAGATAGACATTTTGTTCTGTTATTATTATATAGTTGACAAATTTGTTAAAAATAGTTTGCTGGGGCTGGGGATTTAGCTCAGTGGCATAAGCGCCTGCCTTGCAAGCAGGCAGTCGTGAGTTCGATCCCTGGTACCGATAAAAATGAAAAAGACAAAAAAAAAAAAAGTAGTTTGCTATGGAAGAATTTCTGGTTTCTAGTCCTGTTTCTCACATAGACATTTCATTACCGTGGGTGAGCCACTCAAAATGTCTCAGCCTCAGCTACATTAAAATAGGAAGATTTCACTGAATGTTCTTTTGGCATCTTTCTGGTTCAGTCTTTGATTATAAGTAGATTTAATTTTAAAAGGTTTATGTATAGATGGCAATTTCTGTTACCATCTTGAGAGCATTTAAAATAATACTTTTATTACAGCTTTGGTTCTTCTAAATATGAGAGTATTTTTACTTGCTAATTACATAAAATAAACTAACAATCACAAAATATAGCACAAAAAAGAAATCTGAATTCTGTCATCCAAAAGGTTACACTTTGAAACAGTCTTCTGGTCACCAATTTGTATGATTTGAAATTACAGTATTGGAAGTCAGATACATATTTATATATGTGTGTGTATGACCTTTCCTAAACAGGCAAACATGATACATTAAGATCACTAATGACATTTGTATGTTTATTAGTGTTATTTCATTGATCTATATGTTTCATACTGTTTGGCCATTGCTACCTAAAGTTCTTTTTTTGGTTTTTTTGGCTTCACTCTTTGGATTTTTTTTACCTCTTTTTTTCTTGGTTCCTACCAGTTTTCTTTATCATTTTTCCTGGATATTTTCTCTTTCTGGAAGTCTCTTAAATATTGATGTTTTCTGAATATTTCTGCAATCTCTTCTTATCTTGTATAATCCTTCTAGGTTTCTCCATGTACTTTTTGAGATTTAATTACTACCTGGTAAAACAGCTTTGAAATGATTGTCTCACCTACTTCTTTTTTCTTAGTTACTGAGCTGCACTTCCAGCTGCCTGTTGGATGTCTCCACCTATACACACTAAAGTAACTTTAAGTCAATATGTTTAAAATTTCACTCATTTTAATTTTCTCTTCTCCATCTCTACAATCACCATTATAAACTATTATTTGTTTTCCTATAGTCTTCTATAAATAGGAGTCCCCAATGATTTCTTTAGATTTCAATGTCATTAGCACTTATGAGAAGGAATCTTGCATGAGTAATTTCTGCTTGTTCTATGAAAAACACTTTCTAAATCCCCAGTTATAAAATAGGCCTATAAGAATTTTATACATCAACACTCTCCACAGTTGAAGAAGTAAAACTATATATGCTTTACTTTGTAATATGTTAGTGTGAAATTGGAAATTTTCTTTGTGTGTGTGTGTGTGTGTGTGTGTGGTTATGGAGACTGAACCCAGGAGCCCATGTATCCATAGGCAAATGCTCTACCACTGAGCTATATCTACAGTCACAAGACTATTTTTTCTCAAATAAAAGAAATTTTCTTATCTTCACTTTAAAAGAAGTGCCTTCTCCCTAACTACATCTAGCTGTACCAAGATAATTAGGCAAGTAGTCACCTGGGGTATGGTTCAGTGGTATAAAATGTTCTTAGTAAACTCAAGGCCCTGAGTTCAATCCCCCTCCCCTAGAGGAAAGTTGGCAGCATCTAAGATTATCTCTAATTACTTGTTATTTATATAAACAATGTTGGAAATAAGCAATTTACAAGATTTTCCAGTATTAATCTAAAGAACATATATTGTATCAGAGCAAAATATTTTAAATTAGGAAACAACTTTAGAAGAAAAAAGCCATCACTCCCACAAAAAACTAATTTTAAAGAATTAAGGCATTGCAGCTAATTCCAGATACCTTCTCCAATCCAACCTTCAGCCTCAATTAAAGCTAATACCCACAATCAGTTGCCTTTATGCTACCCTCTACATCAAGCCATGCTAAGTTATTATGACACTGGAGACACAGGTGGTTAAAAGAGACCAGAAATACTAGTTACTTACATCTTCCAACTCTTATTATTTAAAAACTTTGAGAATGGAGGTTATATACTCAATAACTTAAATTAGTATCTTCTGACATTTTTTATTTCAGTTTTATGTTTGCCTGTTTTTAAGATGACTTGTGTTTTTTTAGGCATCTGTGGGAAAACTAGAATTGCAGAAGTGGGAGGTGTGCCTTACTTAATGCCTCTTGTAAACAAAAAAAAAGTAAGTGTACTTTTACTCTTCACATTCACATGAGTGTTGTTTCAGTTTATTATTAGAAGATTCATTAGTCAATGTGCCAGGCAAGGAAGTGCCAATGAACTCAGCAATGAAAAGTAAACCAGAAAATTTGTTTAAGATATGATTTAAATAATTTTTTCCTGTATAGGTTTATGATCTGAATAAGATTGCAAAAGAAATCAAGTTGCCTGGAGCTTTTATGCTTGGAGCAGGGGCAGGCCCATTTCAGACTCTTGGGTTCAATTCTGAGGTCAGTATATATGTGTAATACAATTAACCATTTTATTGATTAGACATTTGGTTGCCTTTTTCCTTTTACTATCGCTTCAAAAAGCATACTGAGTGAACTATAAATGATTGATGTCATGTCTCCTTGCACACTTGACACTATTTGACACATATCTGGACTGTAGATCATGCTACAGCTGATCCAACTATAATGAGCATTAACCTTTAATGACAGATCTTCTCAGGGGAATAGGTTCAGCCTTAGATGAATCCAGAGCCTTGGGTATTCATCTAAAGGCCTTGGAGTGTAAAAGGAGTTTTATTCATATACATCATACATTCTTCACTTCTCTGTAAATCTTCACTTTTGGTATGAAAGAAGCTTGGATTAGAAGATGAGTGGAATATTAATGATCTAATCTGGAATGCAGGCCAAATAGCAGGAAACTATCATAAAAATACTATGGTAATTTACCACAGTTAAACTATTGCTAGTATATTTCATACATATGCTATACTATATGTGATACACACTAGTATATTAACATATATGAAAATTATACATGCTCTATTAGTAATATAATACATGAATATGTAATACGTATGAAAGATTAAAATGTTTTCAACTCTGAAATAAAACATTTTATTATTCAAAATGGTGTCTGCATAAATATACTGATTGACTAATTAGTTTCTTTTCTTTTCAGTTTATGCCAATTGTTCAAACAGAAAGTGAACACAATCCTCCTGTGAATGGAAGTTACTTTTCCTACATTAACCCTGCAGATGGAGGGTACCTACTAGAGAAATACAACAAGAAATACCACGATTTTGGATGTGCATTAATGGCTAATCTTTTTGCCAGTGAGGGTCAACCTGGGAAGGTGATTTTGTCTATAAAAAACATAGTATTCTTTAAATGTTCCCAGGTAGCTAAAAATTTGAATTTTTTTACGCTAAACGGAGTCTTCCTAAGGAAATCAGAGCTACCAAAATCAAAGCTCTTTACATAACCCAGTTATACAAGATTCAGGATAGTAGAGGCAGCATAAATGGCTGATTTAAAACTGAAGAATAATACTTAGTAAGCAATATGTTTTTCTGAGTAACTGAAAAGTAATAGAATATTAATCTGGTAAGTCACTTGAGAATCATGGAGCTAAAATAAATAATGCCTACCTATAGGTAGTAAATAGGTAATTTGCTTATTTCTGATTGATCACACATTGTGCTGGAAATGGTGGCAGCAGAAACTTGTAGCAAACGAAACATGTGGAGAATTAATACCTTACTTCATATTTTCTTCCTTTTAGGATATAAAATGATGATTTCAGTGTTAGTACTTGTGACGATTCTCAGATTTTGTAAGTAGAGATAGCCACTATAGCTAACTTGAGAAATGAAGTACAGAAATACCCAATATACCTAATATAGTACAGAAAACTTAGTCCATAATTTTATAGGAAGTGAAAAATAGAATCATTTCTTCCTCATCTCCTTTAGCAGAAGTTACTCCCTTTAAGCTAGGGAATTCTCAACCTTTTCTACCTTGACATATAAAGTTAAGTGTCTCTAACTAGAGTTAAGTATAAAACTCCATACAATAAAGCATATATGATTAAAATTAAACATAATTAATATATTTGTGTACATACAGATATGTCAATCAGATCTGAATGTGCTAAGCAAATGAGAATATTTTCTTTATGGCATTACATTGTATAACATTACAGTTTGGCAGTATTTATATAAAATTCCATAGCTTACTAAGTGTTATTTTTGTTCTCTGTAGGTAATTGAGGTAAAAGCCAAAAGAAGAACTGGACAACTTAACTTTGTGACTTCTATGAGACAGACTCTGGGAAACCATTATGGAAACAAGCCTGTAGGGATGGGAGGTACTTTCATAGTTCAGAAGGGAAAAGTAAAGGCTCATATTATGGTAAGGGCCAATATATGTATGCTTGCATATACAAATGTTGGGTGCATATGGTTACATTCTTAAGATTTTTAAGTATACTGACGATGCTTTCTTTAAAGAAATTCTGAACAAATCTTTTGCTCAGAGTTTTAAATGACATAGTGTAAATAATAATGTGAGATAATGCCTAGGTAGAATTCTCTTTTATTTTTTGTTTGCTTGTTTTTTTGAGATAGGATCTCACTATATAATCCCAGCTGGCGTAGAACTTGCCATGTAGGGAAATTTCTTTTCAGTGGGTAAAATTCCAAGCTCAGTGTATAATACACTTTGCAACTAAGATGACTGTGATTTGGGAAAAAGAAATTGCACTATGGAGTTGGGCATGGTGGTGCATGCCTGTAATCCCAGTACTTAGGAGGCTGAGGCAGGAGAATTGCCATGTGTTCAAGGCCACCCTGGAGTACATAGTGAGTTCAAGGCCAGCCTAGACTACAGAGTAAAACCTTCTCTCAAAGAACAAAAAAAGAAAAAATTTGAATTATTAAAATTAGAATCTCTATGAGAACTGATCTTACGACACATGATAAAATGAACGAATACTTTGAAGGAAAGAAAGGGGCACTGCAGTACCCAGTGCTGATTCTGGAGTGTTATGGTGTGAAATCCAGCAATATTATTAATCTTTGTTCAGAAGGATTTTAATATAATAAGTTTTGTTAGGTCTCAACATAAATGAAGATATAGATAAATGCATACATGTCTAAGTGTATAGGATTGATAGCCATATTACTTAGTTTTTGTTGGATAGTTGAACAGAACTGTTGGCAGTCTCCCTGTTTGAATTCCCATTTATATGCTCCACTTGTGTATCTTGAACAACTATTTGTGGGGGGACAATATGTATACATCAACTAGTGATTTATTACTGTTTATTTCTTTCCTTTGAAAGTATGTACGGGCTGGGGATTTAGCTCAGCGGCATAAGTGCCTGCCTTGTAAGCAGGCAGTCGTGAGTTCGATCCCTGGTACCGATAAAAACAAAAAAGACCAAAAAAGAAAAGAAAAAAAAAAAAAAAAAAAGAAAGTATGTACTATTTCTGCCCATTTTCTGTTTTGTTTTGTCTTTAAGTAATAATAATAATAATAAAAAGAAAATTAGAATCTCATGCTTCTGGGTGGTAACAAGCCTGTAATCCCTGCAATTTCAAGGGCTGAGGCAAAAAGATCATTTATACCCAGGATTTTGACACCAACCTGGGCAATACAGTGAGACCCTGTCTCCAAAAATAAAATTATTTGTTAAATATGTTAGTGGACTACCGTATGAGGCCAGCACTTTTTTTTCAAATCCATTTTATTCAAACATGAAAGAAAAACACTACATAATTTCAAAGCCCATCAATCAGGGGGTAACAATGGTACACATGTTGCGCATTTTCATCTCCAAATCATTCACCCAGAGTACAAGGCATCTGCCATGAAGCCAGGCTTAAGATACTCAAGACTTTTATAATTTTTAGTAATTGAATAAATGAAGTATGAAAATGACTCTTAACAGTTTCTTTTCTTGGTTGGGGTAGGTCTTGCTATGTAGCGCAGGCTGGCCTTGAACTCACTATATAGTCCAGGCTGGCCTCAAACTTGCAGTAATTGTGCCTCAGCTTCCTAAGTGCTAGGATTATAGGCATACACAACCACAACTGGCTCCTAGCACCATTTGTTGAAAACGCTGTCCTTTTTTGTTGATGAATGGTGTTGATGCTCTATGAAAATCATTTCACCCTACAGGCAAGGGCTTTTTTCTGGTTTCTCTATTCTGGTCCGTTGGTCTGGATGTCTGTTGTTTCACTAGTAATGAGTGGTACTGTTTTATTACTGCAGGTTTGTAGTAAGTTTTGAAATCAAGCAGTATGACATCTCTAACTTCTTTTTCAAGATTGTTTTCAAAATGTCAGTGTGCATATATTCCATATCAATTTTAGGATCATTTTTTTTGTGAAAAAGATTAAGATTTTAATAGGAACCTACTGTGGTGGCTTAGGTCCATAATCCCAGCATTGGGGAGGCTAAGGTAAGAGGATCACTGTGAGTTTGAGGCCATCTTGTACTACATAGTGAGACTCTGTCTCCAAATCACAACAAAAACAAAAAAAAGCAACAATAGATTTTAATAGGAATTGAACTGTTTTTTGTTTTTTGTGTTCTCTCAGTGCCTGGGATTGAACCCAAAACCCTGAATATAGTAGGCAATTGGCAGGTGCTGTAACACTGAGCTGCACCCCAGGTCCACAATGAGTCATTCGATAGCTTTGATTAATATTGATATCTGAATATTGAGTCATTCAATCCCTAAAGATGAGAAAAGACTTCCTTACTGAAGTCTTTAATTTTTCTCTCAGCACTATTTTATAGTCTTCAGTGTGTAAGTCTTTTACTTCCTGGTTAGGGTTAATTCTAAAGTATTTTGTTCTTTTTTCAAGCTTATACTCAATTATAGTACCTTGTCTTCCCCATGCCACCCCCATGCAGCAGGTGATTTAAGATTGCCATGAAAGGGATATAGCTAAGTGGTGGACTGCTTATTTGCCTAGCATGCATGAGGTCCTGGGTTCAATCCCATGTACCACAAAAAAAATATGTGAAGGTAGAATGTAGACATAGGAAAACTGAGTCTATGAAAAATAATAAGGATCTGGGGGCACAGTTCAGTAGTAAAGCATTTGTCTACTATATACAAGGACTTATGTTCAATCCCCCCAACATAGCAAAGAAACAAAAAAGAATGAGGAAAGATACATAGTAACTCATTCATTCATTCATTTGTTCATTCTTAAGCTTTAATTTATACACAGATTGGTTATCTTTTTGAAAACTAGGTTATATTATTTAAATTATGCCAAAAAGTCAGTAAAGTTTCAAATTTTTAACTTAATGAAAACATATTTTTTTTTGTTCTTTTTTTTGGTACCAGCGATCAAACACACGACCTTGTGCTTACCAAGTAAGCGCTTGAGCCATGGAGCTAAATCCCCAGCCCGAAAACATATTTTTAAATGTTTAAGTTCCCAGTAGTAGTCTGTATGTTTCACTGCTTAACTGTCTTTCATTGTAGCCCACAGAATTTTCTTCTTGTCCATTGAACTCTGATGAAGAAATAAATAAATGGCTGAATTTTTATGAGATGAAGGCTCCTTTGGTTTGTCTACCAGTTTTTGTCTCCAAAGACCCAGTAAGTCTTATTTATGTTATTACTGTACTACTACTATATTATTGTACTACAATGATTGATTTTTTAAGATATCCTTTAGAACTAAGTTTTTTTTTTTTTTTTTTTTTTTTTTTTTGCTGACCTTAAGAACTAGGGTAGTGTATAGAATTGAAAGATAAGGAAGTAGGTGACTTATACCAAGGTACTAGGGAGAGCAGACTTTACCTTTTAGTATATGAACACACACTATTAAAGTAGAATCACAAGGGCTGGGGGTTTAGCTCAGCGGCATAAGCACCTGCCTTGCAAGCAGGCGGTCGTGAGTTCGATCCCCGGTACCGATAAAAATGAAAAAGACAAAAAAAAATAAATAAATAAATAAAGTAGAATCACAACTAGAATTCAAATCTCCTATCATTTTATTTGGTGTTCCTCCTATTTTAGTACTGTACACTGGAAAAAAACTTAGATAAATTCAAAGCTACAATATGGACTGGTTTTATCTTTTGATCCAGTAATCATGTACCTAGGATTTTATATTTAAAGATCTGAATAATCTTGTAAAATGAGTTACAAGATTATGAATGACATCACTGTAATAGCAGAATTGCAAATAATCTAAATGTCTGTTAAGAAGTCATATACATAAAGGAGATACCATGTAGGCATAAAAGAATGTAGAAGTTGTCTTATGATCTGCTAGAGATACCTGCTTATTAAGTGAAAAAAAGCAATGCACCAAACAGGGTGCAGAGTGCTACAATTCAAATAGAAAAGTATTTCTAGAAGAATGTATAAGAAACTGCTTACATATGCTGTCTATAACAAGGAAAGGAGATGAGTAGTGAAGGCAATCAAGAAGATAAATTTTACTGAGTATATCCTTTTACCCTTTGATTTTTAGAATCATGTTAATTTGTTGCCTGTTTAAAAATAAAATTTTTGTAATATAAATTCCTCCTTCCCCCTTTCAAATTCTTATCAAAATAATTTCAGTACATACTAACATGGGTTGTCTGTTGTCCTAGGGGTTTGACTTGCGACTGGAACACACTCACTTTTTTAGTCATCATGGAGAAGGTGGACACTACCATTATGACACTACTCCAGATACAGTGGAATATCTTGGATATTTTTCACCTGCAGAGTTTCTCTATCGCATTGATCAACCAAAAGAGACCCATGGCTTTGGGAGAGATTAAATCATCTGATGCTTCTTTAGAAAAAGAAATAATGGGCCCAGGATTTAGCTCAGCAGTGTAAGCACCTGCCTGGCAAGTGTGAGGTCGTGAGTTAGATCCTCAGTACAAAAAAAAAGGAAAAAGAAAAAGAAATGATGAAGGTTAAATAACTAACTCACTAACTTATATTAATATAAAATATTACTGGGTGTGCTGGTAGACACCTGTAATCCAGCACTCAAGAAGCTGAGGCTGGAGAACTGCTGTGAATTTGATGCCAGCCTGGGCTATGTAATGAGTTCAAGGATAGGCTGAGCTACATACTAAGACCTTGTCTCAAACAAACAAAACTAGTCTAATAAAATTTATTACTTAAACTTTTTCCTTCTTTTTGGCCTTTCAAATATTTCACAAATCTTTCCAAAAGAGATTACTGGGAACACAGATACATAATTGATATGTTCATTTTCTTTTTTTACATGCATACCTTTATGTATTCATTCTTTTTTGGTATCCAGAATTGAAATCAGGACCTCATGCTTGCCAGTCAGGTGCTGGACCATTGAGCTGTATCTCCAGCCCTACATACTTTTACTGAGCCAACTTCATTTTTTTTTTTTTTTTATCAGTACCAGGGATCGAACTCATGACTGCCTGCTTGCAAGGCAGGTGCTTATGCCGCTGAGCTAAATCCCCAGCCCCCGCCAACCTCATTTTTAAAAAATTCTATAGTATCAGCAAAGTCTATTGTATGTTTTTACCTTTAATATCAACATGATCAAGAATCACCTAGTTTTTAAAAAAAAGAATCACCTAATTATTTCTACTACCTGGTAATAATAACTTATACAATGTATAACATTATTAAATTCTTCAAATTAGTCTCACAACTGCTAAGTGAATTATTTCTGGTATATGAAAAAAATCAGTGTTTAAAGCCAAGCACAGTGGCATGAATATGTGATCCCAGCACTTTAGCGTCTGCAGTAGGGTCTTGTCACCAGTTAAGACTGGGGAGGTTCACTCAAGTTTTGAGCAACCCGAAGACGAGAGACAGAGCTTGAGCTGCTTAAACATCTTTAACTACTTAGCCACACTGCATTGGCTTAACTGCTCTTGCGGCTCCCAGCCACTGTACATTTGCAGCAGTCCGTAGGCCTCTGGCCAGCCTATTCTCACAACAGTCCTCAGCCTTAGTCCCCCTTCTCACAGCAGTCCTCAGCTGCTTAGTCTAGCTGATACCAAAATCACACAGGTGACCATGTGCTGCTAACAAGTTTTGTTATGTAAGTTATTTATACCAGCCAGCACTGACCTAGGTAACTGCAGTTATTTACCTTGGCGTATATGCCTGTGTTGGAATTACCAACTCACTGTCTCCTACATTCTCTTCCCTTCACAGCCTGCCATCTTGCACTTTCATGTTTCCTTACAAGTGGGAAGTTCTCTAAACTCTTGGAGCTCAAAATCACCTGGGCAACAGGGAGACCTCTGAAAAGAAATAAAAAAGAAAAAAGTCAGTGTTAAATGCTGGCAGTTGTTCAATCTTTATATTTAAAAGCCATGCTAAAAAACAGTATACTTTTTTCACTAAACAACAACCCTTTGGTGAAGTAAATCATTTTTCAAGGTTTGTAATTTACCTTCCACAGACATTACAAGTTGGTTAGCCATGAGGCCTCTCTTGTTTTGATTACAAACTGGAAGCAGTTCATACCTTGTTGATTATTTGCAAGAATACAAAAGAAACAGCATCAAATTACAACAATGAGTTGCATTTGTGTTGTACACCTGTAACTCCAGCTACCTGAGAGGGTGAGGCAGGCAGATCACTTGAGCCCAGGAGTTTGAAACCAGCTTGGGGAAACACAGTGAGACTGTAGCTCAAAATAGAAAAAACAGGCTGAGGCTATTGCTCAGCAGTACAGTTAAATCTCCAGTATAGGAAAAAAAAAAAAAAAAAAAAGGAATCCGATGCCATCTTTAGACCTTTTATATAGGAGGATCAGAGAAAACTTTATTGACATCTACACAAAGACCTGAAAGAAATGTGGGAGAGAACCATGAAGTTATTGGATAATTTTTTTTTCTGGTAGATTCACAGGCCCAGTAGCAAGAGGATTTGTTATGCTCAACGAATTGCAAGGAGGCAAAATAGGATCACCTGACTATGCAGTTAACATTTCAGTAAATGCAAAAAAGAAAAAAAAAAAAAAAACTTGGCTATACACATATATAACCTTTCTGGAAAAATAAAATTTAAAGGAATGTTAAATACTTTATACACTGGGTCATATTTATGACAGTACTCTCATAGAAGTATCAAGCTTTTTTAAGTCTACAAATTTAATTCGATGCCAGTCTAATCCCAGTAGGATCTTTCATAGAACCTTACTAGACAATTCCAGAAATATATCACCTAACAAAAGGCCAAAATAAAAATAACTCTGGAAGTCAAGGTCAGGGGGATTTGGTATATAGATTCAAAACATTATAAAGTTACAAGATGTAGTTTGGGTCATTATGGAGAATGAAGTCAAAGAATAGAAAATCAAGGCCAGAAAAGATCCTTCTATATCCATACTTTAGTTTTTTCACAGAGGTGCCACTGCAGATCAACGAGGAAATAAAAATGTACAATACTCAAAATAGTGCTGACACAACCAGCTACACAGGAAAATAAAACTGGACTAGACTCAATACCAGAAAAAGACAAATGCGAATATTAACGTTTCTTAGACATTCCTCATCTTTCTTCCCTCCATCATTTTACTTAAGACCCAAACACCATCCACAAGCTCTCTACCCGGTGTGTGTACATCCCCGCCTACCAAGCTCCAGCCGCCAGCCAAGCCCCCCACGGCGCCGGAAGCTCCCCCTGCCTGCCAGGGCTCCACCGGAAGCGCTCCCGGCAGCCTGCAGCGCCTGCGCTGGCCAACCTCTGTTCCGGGGAGTGAGAAGCAAGAACTTCGCGGTGCATTGTGGGAACAGCGCTGGGCCTGGGGCTTTGTTTCCGTCGGAGTGCTGGGTTTGTCGTCCTCAGGGTTCCTGGGTTCCGCGTATCCGGCTCTCCGGGGAGGCGCGTCTGCTTTTTACCTCGGTTTTCCGCCCGCGCAGGGTCCGCCCACCAACGCCGCCAGCATGTCTGGAGTGCGCGCTGTGCGGATCAGCATCGAGTCGGCCTGCGAGAAGCAGGTCCAGGAGGTGGGCCTCGATGGCACTGAGACGTACCTGCAACCGCTGTCCATGTCGCAGAACCTGGCGCGTCTCGCCCAGCGGATCGACTTCAGCCAGGGATCGGGCTCCGAGGAGGAGGAGGCGGCGAGCGCGGAGGGCGACTCGCAGGACTGGGCGGGCGCCGGGTCCAGTGCGGACCAGGACGACGAGGAAGGTAGGACTCCTGTCTGTGCCCCAGGGGCCGCCCGCTGTCACTGCCCCTGGCGTGCGCGGCCAGAAGCTGAGCGTCGTCAGTGTCCCGGGTCGGGACCGGGAGGTTCGAAAATAGCACACTGGCGGGGGTCTGGGGTTCCAAAAGTTGAGAGGAGAAGCCTAACCCACCCTACCCGTAGAATAGGTTTCACTGACTTCCATTCCCGAAAAACAATTTTCAGGACTGCTGAGAAAGAGGTGCGAAAGGGGTTTTTTTGACCCAAATTTAGAAGTACATGCAAAGACGTAGGGCGTGGACCCTGAGAGTGAGAGGTTACGGGGTGGAGAGGTGTGAGACAGGCATTGTTTTCTGCAACTGGGAAACATTTATTCTTCTTTTTTTTTGGGGGGGGGGTGGAAAATCCAGAAAAAAACGACGTATTCCTCAGAAAGGTACTGACCCATTTTACAGATATGAGCCCGACCCTGAGGGTTCATATCTGGGTAATTTAAGCATTCTTTGAATTCTCTCAACCAGTTTTTAAGGATCAGGTTCCTGCTCTTTACTTTCTAAAACCAATTTACAGACTTACAGTTCCTGAGGAATGTTGTGTGTGATAGGTCTGGGAGGAAAAGGAGCCTAAATTTAATTAAGGGAATGTCCACATGGATAGCCTTGTTTAACTTCCACTGGGTCCCAAAAGTTGCAAAAGTTAAAAGTTTAATTTTTAGTTGTCCTCTACCCTACCTCGGGAGTACTTTGAAAGTACCACTTTCGTGCAGTAGTTATTGTGCTCATTGTAGTCTTCATTACATTAGAGCTGGAGTTCAGAGCACTGCTTGACTATTTCTTGTCCTTCTGTGAGTCTTCTTGAGTGGGAGCGTTTGAAACATAGTCACTGGTGAAGTGTTCAAAATTTTTTTTTAATGGAACACTTGTAATGAGGCAGACTTAATGATTAAGAGCTCAATGGCTCTTAGAGAGGTTGTGCCATGTATTAGGTATGTGACATTTGGACGACTTTGCCTCCCTATGCAATGTGGATGAGAGTAGCACGTACTGTATATGTTGACTGAAATGTAAGATGAAGTATAAAAGGCAGACAGGAGTCAGATCGCGCCGAGCTTAAATGATAAGCATTGGCTTTTATTAGAAGGGTAACTGGAAGTGTGAGGGGTGGGGGTATTTTATTTATTTATTTTGGAGGCAGAGCCTCCCTGTGTAACCCAGGCTGGCCTCAAACTCAAGATGATCATTCTATCTCAACCTCCCAAGTGCTTAGATTACAGGTATGTGCCATCACACCCAACTGGAAGAAATAATTTTAAAGATTTTGCCTAACTTTGGAAGTAGAAGAGACTTGTTTAAGATAGAAAACAGACACAAAGGAAAAGATTAAGTAAAATGTAAAGATAATGGAAAAAATACCATAGAGTAAAATGGTGTCAGACTAGAAGTATTTGTGATGTGAAAGACACACTGATTGATATCCTCGTTATTTAAAGAGTCTCTTCAAACTGAAAAAAGACAACTGATGGGGAAAGTAGGTCAAAGGCATAAACAGATCATAAAGTAAAGATGTTAGGTGCCAATATGTAAAAGTAGTATCAACTCAATCTCAGTAGTAGACAAAGACAAAATATCAAGATGCTGTTTTCGTGCTTAAAATTGGTAGAGGTTTAAAAGATTGTTATTATCCAGCATTGGCAATGTGAATTAGTACAGTGTCTTTTGGAAGACAGTTTAGTAATTTAATTGTGCCAAAATTTTTAAAGGTGCATCTCTTTTTATCCACTAACATTATACCTAAGTGTTTAAGCTCCAGAAATGTTCATCTGTGTGGGCATGTATTCAAGATGCTTTTCACTATTAGCTTTGCAGGAGGTACACTATTAAGAGTGTCTGTTAAGTAGGAATGATTGAATGTATTGTACATTCATGTTCCAAAATATCATAGCCTGCATTGTTGGGAAAATGAGGTAGATCTATATGTATTAACATGGAAGTGTCTCTAGGATATAAGGGAGGAGGAGGAGAGGACAAGTAAAAGAAAAATGGAAATACATATGTATAAATACATACAAAAACCTTTGAAAGGGGACACTGTTAATAGTGGCAACTGTTAATCCTGGTTGTCCCTGGGGAGGGAGACAAGGGTAAGAATGAAGCAAAACTCACTTTTTATCTCTATAATCACTTACAGATTGAACTCTATACAGTTAACATGTATTTAAAACATAAAAGAATTAAAAGGAAGACATTCTAATATGGCTAATACCAGTGCTGGCATTATAGGTCATTTTGGCCTTATACTTGGCTGTATTTTGAAAATTCTATGCAGTTATTCAGGTTATAAAAGCTGAAAGAAAAATAGTTATTAAAATTCTTGTATATGGTTTCACTTATAGGAGAAACCCAAATTATAAATAAAGAGCAAAATAAAAGATATATAATAGGAACTAGAGAGATACTTTCTCAAATGGAGAGGAAATCAAGAGATGGAAGAAGAAAGAGGATTAA